GTCTGGGGAAGAGAGGGTGGGGGAAGACGTTGATAGGATTATATGACTCAGTTGTGAGTGTTGATTGTAAACAGGGTTAATTGTGATTATAAAACTGTAATTGTAGAGGCTGTAAGTATCGAAAGAGTGGACTAAGGGAAAGGCACTGCTGGACTGGAGACAGTGGCCGAACCTAAAGTCACTTGAAGGTTTTGCTATGCTAATACCTCGTGAAGCTCAGAGCAAGGGCAAAATCTTCTTTCAGTTGAATTTTATCAGACACCAGAAAGGGTGAAAATGAGATGAACTGGAGAACCTGACGAGATCATCTGGATACCTGCAGCAGACCTGAATGGCTGGTACTTGAGTAACCTCACCCTGAGGACTCTTTGCCCTATTGAAGGACTAATTGTTAATGACTGTTTCGGACTGGTGAAATGATTGGGAGGGGGACGTTATCATCCAAGTATGAAAGAATCATGGCTAGAAAAGCCAGGGGGTGGCCTGTGGTATAATGGACTGCTTTTGTGTGGCCTTTCTAGCCATGTTCTTGTGACTTCCATCCAGGTGATTGGGCGGGACTGTGCAGATATGGTAACTGTGGCCCATCATGGTAACTGTGGCCCATCAAAGGGACTGGTCAGTTTTTGTGAGCCATCCCAGAAGCAGCAGAGAGAGGATCCCACCACCACCAAGGAAGAACAGCCAGGAGCAGAGAGCATATCCTTTGGACCCAGGATCCCAGGGATGAGAAGCTCCTAGAACCAGGAGACAGCGAGAGAGGGAGTTGTAACACTGAAGGTAGCACAGACATGGCAGCAGGAGATGCCATGGCAGGCTTCCAGGCCCAGAGAGAGAGAAAGTTGAATGCATTTGGGCAGACGCCTAGGGCCAGAGAGAGGCATGCATGCCTGTGAGTATGACTGGGAAGAGACTGTCCTGATGGAAGAACCGTATCCTGAGTGTTCCCGAGCCTGAACTGTAACCTGTTACTTCCCTAATAAACCCCATAATCGTGAATATTGTCTGCGAGTTCTGTGTGGCCACTGCATGAACTAACAAACCCAGCAGAGAAGTAGAGGGTGCTGTGGGAGGTATGGCTGGTGTCAGAATTGGTAAAGATGGTGGAGAGAGAAGGTACTTCTGCCCTCCTCCTCATAGGAATCAGCCCTGGGCTGTTGATCTTGATCCTCCTTCCCCCTTGTGAAGGTAAGAGAAGGTCAGATACTGCCTACACGCTGTTTTTACACATGCTTAGCTGCTAACTGAAATGTTGGAGGCTCAAGTCCACCCAGAGGTACCTCCAAAAAAAGGCCTGGTGATCCACTTTTGAAAGATCTGCCACTGAAAACACTATGGAGTGCAGTTCTACTCTGATACACATGGGGTCGCCATGAGTCAGGGTCAACTGGAAGACAACTTTTTTTTTTTAATCATATTGTTTCTATTTATAGGACATTGCACCTCTAACCAACCTCCCACCTGAATTTAGAGACCATCTCAAGAGTACATTTGATGCATTGAACACTACTGACTGAAGACCAGACGAGTTGTGGAATGACATCAAGGACATTACACATGAAGAAAGCAAGAGGTCATTAAAAAGACAGGAAAGAAAGAAAAGACCAAGATGGATGTCAGAAGAGACTCTGAAACTTGCTCTTGAATGTAGAATAGCTAAAGTGAATGGAAGAAGTGATGAAGTAAAAGAGTTGAACAGAAGATTTCAAAGGTCAGCTTGAGGAGACTAAGTAAAGTATTATCATGACAAGTGCAAAGACCTGAAGATAGAAAACCAAAAGGGAAGAGCATGCTCAGTATTTCTCAAGCTGAAAGAAACGAAGAAAAAAATTCAAGCCTCGAGTTGCAATACTGAAGGATTCTACAGGGAAAATATTAAATGATGCAGGAAGCATCAAAAGAAGATGGAAAAAATACATACAGTCACTGTACCAAAAGGAATTGGTTGATGTTCAACCATTTCAGGAGGTAGCACATGATCAAGAATGGATGGTACTGAAGGAAGAAGTCCAAGCTGCACTAAAGGCACTGGTGAAAAACAAGGCTCCAGGAATTGACAGGATACCAACTGAGTTGTTTCAACAAACAGAAGCAGCACTGGAAGCACTCACTCGTCTATGCCGAGAAATGTGGAAGACAGCTACCTAGCCAACTGACTGGAAGAGATCCGTATTTGTATTTGTATCCATTCCAAAGAAAGGCGATCCAACAGAATGCAGAAATTATCGAACAATATCATTAATATCACACACAAGTAAAATTTTGCTGAAGATCATTCAAAACGGTTGTAGCAGTACAGTGACAGGGAACTGCCAGAAATTCAAGCTGGATTCAGAAGAGGACGTGGAACAAGGGGTTATCTTTGCTGATGTCAGATGGATCTTGGCTGAAAGCAGAGAATACCAGAAAGATGTTTACCTGTATTTTATCAACTATGCAAAGGCATTCGACTTTGTGGATCATAACAAATTATGAGTAACACTGCAAAGAATGGGAATTCCAGAACACTTAACTGTGCTCATGAAGAACCTGTACTTAGACCAAGAGGCAGTTGTTCTAACAGAATAAGGGGACACTGTGTGGTTTAAAGTCAAGAAAGGTGTGCGTTAGGGTTGTATCCTTTCACTATACTTATTCAATCTGCGTGCTGAGCAAATAATCCGAGAAGCTGGACTATATGAAGAAGAATGGGGCATCAGGATTGGAGGAAGACTCATTAACAACCTGAGATACGCAGATGACACAACCTTGCTTGCTGAGAGTGAAGAGGACTTGAAGCACTTACTGATGAAGATCAAAGACCATAGCTTTCAGTACGGATTACACCTCAACATAAAGAAAACAAAAACCCTCACAACTGGACCAATAAGCAACATCACGATCAATAGAGAAAAGACTGAAGTTGTCAAGGATTTCATTTTACTTGGATCCACAATCAACGCCCATGGAAGGAGCCGTCAAGAAATCAAATGACACATCGCATTGGGCAAATCTACTGCAAAAGATCTCTTTAAGGTGTTAAAAAAGCAAAGATGTCACTTTTACGACTAAGATGTGCCTGACCCAAGCCTTAGTGCTTTCAATCGCCTCATATATGCATATGAAAGCTGGACAATGAATAAGGAAGACCTGAAGAAGAATTGATGCCTTTGAATTATGGTGTTGGCAAAGAATACTGAATACAGCATGGACTGTCAGAAGAACGAACAAATCTGTCTTGGAACAAGTACAGCCAGAGTGCTCCTTGGAAGCGAGGATGGCAAGACTTCGTCTCACGTACTTTGGATATGTTATCAGGAGGGACCAGTCCCTAGAGAAGGACATCATGCTGGGTAAAGCAGAGGGTCAGCTAAAGACAGTAAGACTCTCAAGGAGATGGACTGACACAGTGGCTGCAACAATGGGCTCAAGCATAACAACGATTATGACGATGGTGCAGGACTGGGCAGTGTTTCATTCTGTTGTACGTAGGGTTGCTATGAGTAGGAACCAACTTGATGGCACCCAACAACAATAACAACCAGCCTCCTAGTGTGGAGAGTCTTTGTATTCTGTCCCCAGATCGTCTGAGTCTACATTATATTTCTAGATAATCTTACACATCCATAGCTCAATTATCCTTTTACACTGGCGACTCCCAGGTCTTTGTGCCTAGCTCAAACACTGGCCTGAGGCACAGACCCCAGTATCATTTGATTCCTGCATGTGGCCAGTGACTGTCGCCAGGCCCCTCATACTCTCACTATTTCACAACTGAGCTCAGCATCTTTCCCTGCAAACCTGTTCCTCTTGGATTCACCATCTGGGAAACACCCACCCAGTCACAGGGTGAGACCCCAAGAACTGTCCTCTTCCCAAATCCTGTCTCCTGTATCTCTGCCTCATCCCCTCCTCCTCTCCGTGTCCATAGCGTCCACAGCTGGGTCCAGGCTCCCGTTTCACCCTCTCCTACTTGGACCATTGCTCTAGCCTCCTCTCCTGCCTCTATTCCTCCAGTCTGTTTCCCACGTGGCCCCAGGGGCTTCTTTCTGACACCCAGAGCTGGCCCCATCCTTCTCCTGCTCACAACTTTCCCCTGGCTCCTCTCCTCCTCAAGAGATGCCCAAGTTTCTCATGTGTGGGTTCTGGAAGTCTCTGAGGCATCACCAAAGCTCCATGGCGAATTTTGAGCACACAGCCTGACACAGAGAAAGCGCCCCATAAATGTAAGCTATTATCATATTAGGAGTACCTGGGTGGTGCAAACAATTAACACGCTCAGCTGCTAACCATTCTGAGGAACTTTAGGGAATTACAGAAAATTCAAGGCACCCTATTTATTTACAGAAACCCCGATGGGCTGGTGGGGGGGACCCCGGAAGATTACAGGAGTTCCAGGGACATTATGAGGAACCCCGGGGGATCACATGAGAGTCATGAGAAATTTAAGAGACACTGAAGCATCATGGGAGTCCCAAGAGACGTTCTGAGGGTTCCTGAGGGGTATTCCTGAGGCGTTCCACGGGGGTATTCTGGGGGAGCCATAGGTAAATTACATAAAGTTTTGATATATTCTAGGATTCTGAGGATTCCGCCGAGATTATAGCGGCCCCACAAGTACTGAGGGGCTCTGTGGAATCGCGGGAGCTCCAAGGAAGTCCTGAGGGTCTCCAGTGATTACCCCCACAGGAATTCTAAAGTGCCCCGGGGGATCATGGAAATTATATTCTGAGGAATCATGGGTAGGACGAGGGTTCTGAGGGGATAACGGGAGCTTCACAGAAATTCCGAGGAGTCTCGAGGAACCAACGGAGGTTCTGAGGAACCCGTGAGGAGTCGGGAAAACTCCTCGGGGAGTCCAGAGGCCCCACAGGGAGACCCACTTAGGATCGTGGGCACCAGAAGTACTAGGGATCATGGGAATAGACTAACGGGTTAAGACGAGCAGCCGCGAAGGCTCACGGGAACGGTCCTCCAGGGGTGGGTCCTAAGGGGTGGCGGGAATCACGGGATCCGAGAGGGGCCGAACTGCCGCGGTGGGTCACGGGAGTCCGCGAGGAAAACGGGTCCGGGGAAACGGGGGATGGGGGTGGGCAGCGCCAGCCCGGGCAGTCCCTCACCAGTGCGCATGCATGGCTTTCAGGCACCGGTCCGTACTCCATCGTGGTAAAGATCTCTCGGGTTTGGGGCCTTGCGCGCGTCGCAGCCATCACTCGCCCAGACCACTTTCCACAAAGGACTGCGGGGCAGTCTGCCTAGGGAAACCTTGAGGTCCGAAAGGCGGAACCACCCCCTCCACCCAAAGGGGCAAGACTACGAAGGGGTTGGATCGACGGAATAGATAGCGCGGATCCCGCCCATTTCCCCGCCTTAGGAGCTGTGGGCGCCGCCTGTACGGGTTCGCTGGGACTGTAGAGTAGAGCATGCGTACTTTTTAAGGGGGGGGGCGGGGGCGGGGGCGGGAGTGGGTGCAGGAGTTCTGAATTGTGGGTCGCCTGCCAGTTAGGGTTGGAAGCTGTGGTGGCGTGGTGGTTAAGAGCTACAGCTGCTACCCCAAGAGGTCTGCAGTTCTAATCCACTAGGCGCTACCTGGAAGCCGGATGAGGTGGCCCTACCCTGCCTTATAGGGCCACTATAAGTGGGAATCGACTCGACGGCAATTTTTTTTTTATGCAAATAGGAAGGTTCCAGATTTAGAAGAGTGGTCGTATTTGTGTGTCTTCTTGCCACCCTGCTTATATTGTTGCCAAGAAGTGCAACCTTTAGTCCGAAATACGTTTCGTAGGGAACCGAATCTAGCTATGGGAAGAAGCGACAGTTCCCCGTAGCTATCCTGACTGTACAAACCCTGGCCGGAAGTCGTTGCCAGGAAGAACAGGAAGTGTGGCTTTTTTAGAGAGAGGAAGTGTGGCATTTTGCGGTATGCTCATTTACGAACTCGGCCGGAAGGGTAGCCTCAAGTTCCATTTTTGATTGGTCGAAGCGGGACGTGTGGCTTCAGGCTTTAAACATGGTTGGTCGGTAATAGACTGCTGTTGCAGCGCGGCCGGAAGTGTGGCATCCTCCAGTACCATGGTTACACAGAAACCGGAAATATGGCATTCGCGTATACATTTAACACTTAAGGCCAGGAGTACGTCCAGAGATATTGGTTCCTGACGGATTTAAGGACGATCTCTGGTCTGGAATGAAATTGTAGTCTCAGGCCAGATTCTCAGGTTTTCGGACAGAATTGTAGGTGTCGGGAGACGGTTAAGGAGTTGGCAGTGGGGCCCGGGGAAGGTTCTTCCACGTCAGACGCCTAGGTCTGCTTCTCAGGAACATGGCGGACTCGAAGCTGCTGGTGCCCGAGCTAAGCGAGGCAGAGACGATAGGCCCTGAGACGGCGCGCTTCGAGGAGCTGCTGCTGCAGGTGCGGACTGACCAGACTCCTGGGTGCCTTGATGTTCGGGAATGGTTTGTGCTGAGACAGCACTACAATTCCCAGAATGCACTGAGGTGGCAACAGCACTTACGGGAATTGTAGTCATTTGGCCCCAAGTTGTGCTAAGCCCTGTTTGCCCAGTGGTTAAGAGCTTGGCTGCTAACCCAAAAGTCGCCAGTTCGAATCCAACAGCTGCTGTTTGGAAAACTATGGTGCAGTTCTATTCTGTCCTGTAGGGTCGCTATGAGTCGGAATCAATTTGACGGCAACAGGTTTAGTTTTTTGTTTTAGTGGCGCAGTGGTTAAGCGCTCAGCTGCTAACTGAAAGGTTGGCAGTTCAAACCCACCAGTAGTTCCACGGGAGAGAGATGTGGCAGTCAGCTTCTGTAAAGATTTACAGCCTTTACAGAAGGAAACCCTATAGGGCAATTCTATTGTGTCCTGTAGGGTTGCTATGAGTCAGAATCGACTCCATGGCAACAGGCTTTTTTTTTTTTTTGGCCCGTCCCAAGTTTGCCAGGCTCTGGCAGAAATGGGAGTGGCGTTAATGTTAGGGTTCTTCTGGGTCCTCAAAGGAGTAAGGGCACCTAGCATGTCTTATTCTCCATGGTATCCACAGCTTTCATACATAACAGTTGCTAAATAAACATTTGAGGGGCAGGTGAGGGTTCTGAGGGCACTGACTCCAAGCCTGAAGGTTGTTTCCTTCACACAGGCCTCCAAGGAGCTCCAGCAAGCCCAGACAACCAGACCAGAATCTACACAGATCCAACCTCAGCCTGGTGAGAAAGACAGAAACCCAAAGAGAGAGGGCTAGAGTCCCAGAGAGAGAAAGATGGTGACTCAGAAGGGGCAGGGTATGTAGAAAGGAAGGAGGAAAGAGGCATACTAAGTGGGGGTGGAGGTGACCAGAGATCCGAGGAGAGGAGGGAAGGGACAGATTAAGGGGATAAAGACCTGGGTGTGGGGGTGAGACCCAGCAGGAGGGGAAACCAAGACCCAAAGAGGGGGGACAGAGCAAAGAGGGAGGGCAGAGACTGGAAAGGAGACTGAGACCTGTTCTGAGACAGATGAACAGGACAAAGCTACTCCCGCCAGGTTTCTGCATAAAGACCAACTCAGCGGAAGGGAAGGTTTTCATCAACATCTGCCACTCGCCCTCCATCCCTCCTCCCGCTGATGTGACTGAGGATGAGCTGCTGCAAATGCTGGAGGAGGACCAAGCTGGGTTCCGCATCCCCATGAGTCTGGGGGAGCCTCATGCCGAACTGGATGCAAGTCAGTGCGCTCAGAGGACCCAGGAGTCCAGGCCCCCTCCTTTCCCAGGACCCAGGAGTCTAGGCCCCTGTCCCCTCCTTCCGTAGGACCCAGAAATTTAGTCCCCTATCTCCTTGCCCAGACTCAGGAGTCTAGCGCTGCAAGACCCTCTTCCATCAGACCTAGGAGTCCAGGCCCCTGTCCCCTCCTTCCCTAGGAGTCCGGGGTCTGCAGCCCCTTCCTCCCTCAGACCCAGGAGTCTCGACCCCAAGCCCCCTCCTCCCTCAGATCCAGGAGTCTATCCCCCACTCTGATCTTTTTCCCTGTGGCATTTCCGTAGCCTCCTGGGCACCCTGCCCCTGTCCAGGCTGGCACTGTCCCTGCCCCACCCCAGGCTGGAGAGGGCTGGCAGGGGGCTCTGTGCTCATTAGTGGATCTCCTGGCTGTAGTCCAGGCCCAGCCCTCGCTCATTCATCTTTGCTTTTTCCACTGCCTCTTCTCTTCAGCCTCCAGCTCTGCCATTGTCTCACCTCTGTCCCTGTTGCATTTCTGTCTCTGTCTCTTTTTTTCAATTCACATGTGTCTCTTGTCTCCTGGGGACCAAGCTTTGTGCAGCGCCCTGGGGAGCAGAAACTTATCAGACCCCGTTCCTGCCCTTGAGAAACTCCCAGTCTTGGGTAGGGGCGAAGGGGACAGGCAATTTCAATCTGGTGTGATATGTGCTACACTGGAGGGGTGTCTGGCACAGCCCAGAGGAGATTGTCCACTTGCACCGAGACGGCAGGGAAGCTTCCTGGAGGAGGAGGTGCCGAATGTAAGGTTTGAAAGATATGGAGGAGTTAATCTGGCAAAGACAGAAGAGAGTTCCAAGCAGAGGGGCCCAGAGGCCCGAAAGAGTGATTGGATTGGATCAGCCAGTAATCAGAGTGATTGGAAGAAATTTAAAGGGACGGGTCGGTAAAGGAGAAACGGGCTTCTCACTAAAGGGCGGCAGGGGCCAGGCCGAGGACTTGGACCTTACCTGGGGGCGCTAGAAAGCCATGGGAGATCTGTGAGCAGGGCAGGGGCGGGGTCAGCTCCGGGCAGATAGTGGGGACAGACCAGAGCAGGAGAGACAGCTGGGAAGGTGACTTGGGATGAGAGTCCAGGCTGGAGTGGGAGGATCTGTCTTGAACCCTCGCTTTTTTATCGGCTCTGCCTCTCTCTGTTTCCTGTGGTTGCTGACCCTGAAGGTTTTTATTTTCTGTGTCTGGCTTCCCACGGAGTGCTGGCGGTCTCACCCCGTTTCTCTCCCCGCAGAAGGCCAGGGCTGCACCGCCTACGATGTGGCTGTCAACAGCGACTTCTACCGGAGGATGCAGGTTGGGGGCGGGGCTGCGGGGGGACGGAGCCTCTCCTTCCACTCCCTAGCCCCCTTCTATCTCCCCTCCCTCCCTCTCTTTCTCTCTCCTAGAACAGTGACTTCTTGCGGGAGCTTGTGGTCACCATTGCCAGGGAGGGCCTTGAGGACAAATACAGCCTTCAGCTGAATCCCGGTGAGGGGCGGGCCTGGGAGAGGAGGTAGAGCCAGGAGCGGGTTGGGGGCAACCCTTCAGAGGGTGGGTTTAGTGCCTCCAGCCTTTCGGAAGGGGCGGGGCTTCCTGTGTTGCGCTGGGAGGTTGAGTCAGGCCTGGAGGTCAGAAGGGGGCAGGGCCTGGGCCGTCAGGGAGGGGCGGAGTCTAGGAAGTGGATTTGAGTGGGGAAAACCCTTATATGGGCAGGGCCAAGGTGGGTGGGCTTACAGGGTATGGTCAGACCCCTGGCCTCCGGGGAAGGCACCCCAGAGGGAGCAGAGGGAACCCTGACAAGGCGACCTTTGACCCTGACTTTCCCAGAATGGCGCATATTGAAGAATCGGCCTTTCCTGGGCTCCATTTCCCAGCAGAACATCCGCTCCCAGCAACGTCCGCGGATCCAGGAGCTAGGGAATCTGCCCACGCCGGGCTACCGGGCAGCTGAGACAGGGTGGGCCGGCAATGGGTGCTCTATCCTGTCTGCCCAAGGCGCTTCTGAATCCCTCCCTCATCCTCCCTTCCCACACTGCGTCCTGGGAACTACCTGGGGCTCTGGGAGGCTTCCAGAGGCAGCATGATGGGAAGGAGGGAGGAAGGCAGGGAACAACAGTATGCCAGGCAGAGGGAATAGCCCTGGCAAAGATCTGGCGGCTCTCCTCAACTCTGGGTCTTGCTCCTCCCCAGCCCAGAGAAGCCTCACCTGAACCTTTGGCTGGAAGCCCCTGACCTCCTCTTGGCTGAAATTGACCTCCCCAAGCTGGCGAGTACACACACGAGCAGAGCAGGAGAATGGGGTCTGGGGGTTGGGGGTCTCAGAGGGGGAGTGTGGGGGGCTTTCACTGGACCTGGGCTCTGCAGCTTCTTCAGTGTGTGTCTTAGTTACCTGTTGTGTTGTTGTTAGGTGCTGTTGAGTCTGGAGGAAGGTCCTTGTCTCTTTTCAGCTTCTGCTCCTCTGTTTCTTGGCCATCTTCATGTGGCCTGGCATCTGTCTGCCCCATCTCTGCTTGGTTGCTTGCTTGCTTGCTCAATCTGCTCTTTTATATCTCGAAAGAGACTGACTTAAGACACACCCTACACTAATACTGCCTTATTAACATAACAAAGAAACCCCATTCCCAAATGAGATTATAACCACAGGTATAGGGGTTAGGGTTTGCAATACATATTTTTGGGGGACACAATACAGTTCATAACACTGTGTGAGCCCGGTGAGCCCACTGCCTCCTCTGCCCCAGGAGCACACTTCTTGGTGCTGACCACACCTGTTGATGCCTTGGAGACCGGGGCTTCAAACCTGTTCTTCCCGATTCAGTCATAGCCAAGGAAGTCAAGGAAACCTCACTGAAACAGACCCGAATTTTTAAAGCTACGGTGAATATGCTCTCTTGTAATCCTGCCAATAATCCAGTCTCACCCATCAGCCTCCTGAAAAGGCCCACTATGCCTTTTCTAAGTCTCCCAGGGCTTAGTCCTGTAATTTTTCCAGCTCCTGGTACCCTGCTGAATCTGACAAATTGTAAAACTTTGCATCTGTTCATGTTTCACCTTGTCAGCCATGACTGAACTGGTTTGAATCGGTTTGAAGCCCTGATAAACCAAGAAAAAAAAAAAAAACCCCTGCCGTCAAGTTGATTCCAACTCATAGCGACCCTGTAGGACACAGTAGAACTGCCCCATAGAGTTTCCAAGGAGCACCTGGTGGATTCGAACTGCTGACCTTTTGGTTAGCAGCCATAGTTCTTAACCACCATGCCACCTGGGTTTCTGAAGCCCTGATGGAGACCTGCACATCTCCCACCTTCTTCCTGGGAGACTAAACCTTTTGAAATATAGTATCCCAATACTGGAGGCCGCTCTGCCTAGTCCATGTTATCGTTCTCCTGGTGCTGGGAGTGGGGGGCTGATTCTACCACATCCCCAGGATGGAGCCATGGGGCTGTCACTGGAGCTTGGGGAGAACCGCCTGGTGATGGGGGGCCCCCAGCAGCTGTACCACCTGGATGCCTGTATCTCCCTGCGGATCAACGCTGATGAGAGCAAGGCTGCCTTCCACCGGAAGAGGAAGGTACCTGGGGGGGTCTAGGGAAGGGAGGGGTGGTACTGGGAAGGGATGGGGTCCAGAGTCCCAGGTCTGAGGTGGGGGGCCGGGGGCTGAGACTCCTAGGCCTTGAGTCTTCACTCTTGTCCTCTTTCTGCAGCAGTTGATGGTGGCAATGCCCCTCCTGTCAGTGCCTTCTGAATCTTGGTGACTCTGTGCTTGCAAGAGTGGAGGAGGAGAGGCTGGTGGTTTCTCTAAAATGAACTGAAATAAAAGATATTTGTCTTTGTTCTATCTCTGGCTAGAAATAGATAAGGTGGCAGGTAAGAGGGGCATTAGGCTGTAGCCCTAAAATGCTACAGAGGCCCTGGTCCCAGCTCAGACCTAGGCCTCTCCTGCCTGGACCCTCACCCCAGCCTCTTCCCAGGCTTCCCAGCCTCCAATCTCTCTCCTCCAGTTAGTCCCCCACATAACACCAGTGCTGCCCTTGCCCCGCTCCTGGTCATGGCCCTTCTTTGCCTCTCAGCGCTCCGGGGAGACGGTCCAAGCACCTCAGCCTATCACTGAAGGTCCTGCGTGGTCTGGCCCACTCTGTCCTCATATTTCACCTCTTCTTCCTCCTCACTCTGAACTTCAGAGAATGTCCTGGCCACACCCATTCTTCTGTACCTTCTCTCAGTATTTGTTTTTCCCTGTTGGTGTCCTCTTGCGGTTGGATGGATTGCTTTTGTGTGGCCTTGCCATGGTGTTTTAACTCCCAGTCTTATAACTCCCACCCAATTGTGGGACTGTGCAAATAGGGTAATTGTAGCCCACCAAGGGGATTGTTCAGTTTTGCCACACTGGGCTTGACTAGAGCCACCCTGGAAGTGGGAAAGAGTAAAGATCCCACCACCACCAAGGAAGAAGAGCCAGCGCATCCTTTGGACCCAGGATCCCTGCGCTGAGAAGCTTCTGGAACCAGGAGACTGAGAGAAGGAGTGAGCTGTAACACTGAAGGCAGCAGAGACCTGGCAGCAGGAGACCGCGTGGTGGGCTTCCTGGCCCACGGAGAGAGAAAGCTGAGGGCCTTTGGGCAGAGGCTGAGGGCCAGGGAGAAGCACGGCTGGGAAGAGGCTGTTCTGATGGAAAAACTGTATCCTGAGTGTTGCTGAATTTTAACTGTTAACTTCTCTAATAAACCCCATAATCGTGAGTATCATCTGTGAGTGCTGTGTGGTCATTGCAATGAATTAGCAAACCCAGCAGAGAAGTAGAGAGTGTCGTGGGAGGGGCAGTTGGTGTCAGAATTGGTAAAGTTGGCAGAGAAGAGGCATATCTGACCTCCGCCTTGTGGGAATCAGCCTTGGGCTGTTCATCTTGATTCTCCTTCCCCATTGTGAAGTTAGATGAGGGGTCAGACACTGCCCCCACATCATTCTTACACCTTTCTACCACCCATCTGTCATTTTGTCATACTGTGGTGACTTGCATGTTGCTATGATCCTGGAAGTTATGCCACCGGTATTTCAAATACTGGCTGGGTCACACATGGTGGACAGGTTTCAGCAGAGCTTATAGACTAAGACAGACTAAGAAGAAAGGCCTGGCAATCTACTTCCAGAAATTAACCAGTGAAAACCCTATGGATCACAACAATATTATCTGATGTAGATGAGCCCCCCCCCCAGGTTGGAAGGCACTCAAAATGCACAGTGGCTGCAAAAATTGACTTGAGCATACCAACGATTGTGAAGATTTGTTTTTTGCACATGGAGTTGCCATGAGTCAGAGCTGGAGCCACTTGATGGCAACTAACAACAACCGAGTATCCTCTTCCCTATTACATCTACCCAGGAAATTTCTAATTGTTTTCAGTGCTGCAGAAGTCACCTGACCATTATCTCTAGCCTCTACTACCTCTCCCCCTGCCAAGCTTCCCGTTCCAGGAGATCTGCTTCACACCACAGTCACACCAAACTGTTTCTAGGGCCTCAAACCACCAGGCTTTTCTCACCTCCTGACCTTTGCACCTGCTGTTTCCTCTGCTGGGGACACTTTCCCCCTATTATTCCCCCTACCCATCATCCTTTTTCTTGAGCTTTTCCTAGAAAGCTTTACAAATTTCAAGGTTTTTGCTGATCTTGGCTCGGTTAGAATCCTCCTCTGGGGGTCCCCCAATGCCCAGTGTTACTCCCATTATAATTATGTCCCCCAAGGTGTGACAATGCCTAGCTCATAGTAAATTGAAAAACAAAAAAAAGTTGCTGTAAAGTCAATTTCAACCCATGGTGACCCCATGTGCGTCAGAGTAGAACTGTACCCATAGGGTTTTCATGACTGTCGCCTTTTGGAAGCAGATTGCCAGGCCTTTCTTCCGAGGAGTCTCTGGGTGGGTTTGAACTGCCAGCCTTTTTCGGTTAGCTCTAAACCGATTGCGCCCCGCCAGGGACTCCATATTTGTTGAGTCACTGAATGATTGCCAACCCCCGTGAGTCCTAGGAGGATAAGTAAATGGAGCTTCATAGTTGGAGGCACAGCGAGGAGGCCAGTGTGTCTGGAACGGAGTGAGCGAAGGAGAGAGTAGATGGGGAAGAAGTCAGAAAGAGGTCGGTGACAGAAGGTTTTGGTTCGTGGAATGAATAAGTGGCTGTGGCCGCCAGAGGGCGCACCGCGGCATCAGCCCGTTGTCCCAGAGAACGTGAACTACATCTCCCAGCGGCCCTCGGAGTAGGCGGCCCATCCGACGCAGGCAGTGGGATCCAGCGGCCGCTGGGACTTGTAGTTTGCCTGAACCCTTCGTGGGAGGCTGAGAAACTAACAGAGCTTAAAAAAGTCTGGGGCTGGGACCTTCCCGCCGTACTTGTCTCCATGGTGACGGTTCCGGCGGAGGCCCAGGATTTGGCAGCCGCAGGGACCGCTCCCCACTTCCTCCTCTTCACCATCTGCTCCACCCTCACACCTGTCCTAGAGCCGCGGCCACCGCCTCCGCACCCAGACGCGGGATGCTGTCGCCGCAAGGTGGCGCGTGAAGAAGGCTCTGCGGCTTCTCCCTGAGACCCAGAAGTCCAGGCCCTGAGCCTCCTCCTCCCTCAGACTCAAGAGTACGGGTCGCCGGCCCACTCCTTCCTCAAACCCAGGCGTCCGGACCCCCAGTTCTCTCCTTCCTCGGACCCAGGAGTCCGGGCCCCTAGCCCCCTTCTAACCTTAATCCCAGGGGATCCAGGCCCGCAGCTGCCTCCTCCCCGGGGATCGGGGTTTTCTCAGACCAAGTTCTGAGACCCAAGGAGACCAGGCTGGAGACAAAATAACCCCGCGGTCAGTGGCTGCCCGGCCACCCTGGCCCTGGCGCCCGCCAACCGCGCTATCTGCTCCTCCCACCCTTTCGCCGGCTTGCGCCACATCATGAAAATTTAATCCCAGATGCATTTGCAGCCAGACTCGGGGAACGGTAGAGAAAGGAGCCCTCTCCTGGGGCTGACTTTGGAGTTATGAGAGCGGGGGTCAGCGTCAGGGGAAGGGTTGGTGTGGAGAAAGGGGCGGGGTAGGACCTGTCTGCTGGGCGGAGGACTCAGGAGAGAGTCCAAGATCAACCCCAGAGGGCGGAGCTGGGAATCAGAGGTGGGGACAGAACAAAAGCGCCAGGACAGCACCCAGGGGCGGAGTAGAATTTAGAGGGTGGGGACAGTCCGAAGGGGCGGAGGCAGCTTTCAGAAGGTGGGGACATATCCCAGGGGGCGGGGACAGATCTCAGGGGGCGGAGACAGATCCCAGGGGGCGGGACAGAATTCAGAGTGGAACAGATTCTAGGGCGCATGCAGAACAGATTCCAGAAGGGGTAGGAAACTATGGGGGTCGCAACTGGAGGGCTATAATTGTAGGGGATGGAACTCAGAGGGGGAGGGAAACCGAGGGTAGGAGACAAAACTCAAGGAGAGAAGGACCTGGGACGGGCGTTGGTGCCCAGAGGAGAACTAGAACTCGGAGTGGGGTGCAATTCGAAAGGGGAAAGATGGAAAGTCATATGAGAATGAACCTCAGGGTGAAGAAACTGCGTGGGGGAAGGAACAAAGGAGGGATCACTGTGGGTCGAACTAGGGGCTGGAATTCAGGGAGGAAAGAACTCAGAAAATCGGAACTGGGGATGACTGGGGCAGGGATGGACTTCAGAGGGGTCAGTCCAGGGGGAAGCTGGAACTGTCAGGTCCAGGATTTAGGAGGAATAGCACTGGGACGCAGAGGATGGAAGCACATGGAGCTGTGGGGGTGACGAAATTTGGCGGGACTGAATTGGGGGAGCAAACCTCAGATGGAAAAGAGAACTCAGGCGAGGAGACAAAATCTAGGATAGAGGGATCTGGGGCGATTGGATGGTGGGAAACAACTCGGGGAAGGGACAGAATTGGGGGGCGATGCCACTCAGAGGCGTGAATTCAGAACTCAGAGGCGTGGTCCTGGGAGGGATGGGGCGGGCCAGAACCAGGACGAGAGGGCCGCGAAAAGGGCGGGGTTAGAACTTAGGGGCGTGGTCTGGGGCTGGCTGGGCGGGGTCTCTCTGCGGCCCGCCCCGTGCGCAGAGTCCTGTGACAGCCCCCAGGCAACCAGCACTTGCAGCCTCCTTCCCCCCCGAGCGGAGCTGCGGGGCCGGCCGGGCCGGGGCGGACCCCGGGAACCCGGACACGGCCGCCCGGGCCCGCGGGCGGGGGGATCGGCGGCAGGGGTCGCCACCATGGAGTTCCGCCAGGAGGAGTTTCGGAAGCTGGCGGGTCGCGCCCTCGGGAAGCTGCACCGGTGAGGGGCTGGGGGCCCTGGGTGGGGAAAGGACTCGGGGCCCTAAGAGGACGCTCGTCTCCCATGGGAGCAGACGGACAGATGGACACGAGGTACCCCAGGATCGGGGATCCCTCAGTCCATCTGGCTGGTTTTCTCCCTCAGTCTCCGACGGTGCCACTTTCTCTAGTCCATCCGTTATCATCCATCATGCCCGCTGGTTGTTCTGCACCCCACCCCGTATCCCTGTCTCTCTGCATATCCCTGTCTCTCCGGGTCCTTGTCCGCTCTCCCTGGGTTTCTGTCCCCCTCTCTCTGGATCTCTATCCTCCCCTCTGGATCTCTGTCCGCCTCTCTCCCTGGGTTTCTGTCCCCCTCTCTCTGGGTTTCTATATTCCCCAAACCCCATCTCTTCCCATCTCTGTGTTTCTCAGAGAGTTTAATCTGAAGCTAAAGCGGATTGGAGCCCATCAGCTTTTGTCCTTGAGGGGGGTTAAGCTGGGAGGAGATAGCCCAGGTATCCTGGGTCCCTGGAGGAGAAAAGAGCAGCAGGCCAAAAAATCAAGTTTCTGAGGTGGGGCAGACTCCCCAAAGGATATGGGCTATAGTCCCGCAGGACATCCTCCCAGCCAGGGAGGTGACCCCAGTGACTTGGGTGTCCCTCAGGGCTGTCTGGACACCTCCCTCCAGTCTCCTGCCCCCAACCCCAGCCCTGGCTCCAAGTCAGAGAAATTACTCAGCTGCGGAAAAGCCTAAAAATAATCTGGCCTCAGTAGGGGAAGAGACGGCCTCCCCAGCACCACGGCCCTGCTGCATGCCCTCCGACCCTGGCACCGGTTGACACTCATCCATCCCACTAGGCCATGCAAGTCCTTCCCAAAGTCTAACTCTAGTCCTGCTTGCTGCAGATCACCTTCTAGCTACCAAGTTCTGTACCCTCTAGTAACACAAGAGACAGGAGGGAGGGCGACAGGAGGGAGGGAGACAGAAGGATGTCTCGGTGAGGGGGGGAGCTGAGATAACCTTACCCCTTCTTTTCCCAATTTTCCAGCCCCTCCCCATCCTTTTTCTCGCCTCCTTTCACGAGTTTCTCAAAATACTTCAGTGTGAAGTCAGGAGAGAGAGAGACGTGCTGACGGAGGTTGGGGGGGGGGGGCAGCAGGAGGGCTGGGCTCAGCCTCAGGCCCCCTCCTGCAGTCTCTGCTTCCCAGCTTGCCATCTGGGTCTGGGTTGCTCTTGGTCCATCTGTCCTTTGAGACCCCTGAACTCAGAGCTCCCATCGGGAGAGTCACCAAGGACTTTGAGCAGAGAATATTTGCATCCAAATCCTGGAGTTCACTTCTGATTGTTGGAGGGAAGGGGGCTGCTCTGTACTGGACAAAACACCCTGATGACATTCAATCCTCTAGACCAAGCTGGGGAAACTGAGGCTCAACTTGGGATGGCTGATGAAGGCAAGAGCCATTGCTCAGACCCGGGTCAGCCTCACCTTCAAGCTAGGCTGGGGGCTGAGACTTTCCTCGAGATGAGGGATGCTGGAGTGGGTGGAAAGCTTCCCTTGTATCAGGAAACAGATGGGAACCCAGGCTGACTTGAGACAAGGACATGGTGGGGGAGATGCAGGAGAGACAAGGAGCCAAAGTGCCTTCTTTCCCAGAGCCAGGCCCAGGGCAGGTGCCGCGGGGGGCCAGGAAGGGATCAGGCCCCACTGATGTTCTCGTGTGTAACCTTGGGTTTGTTACTTCTGCTTTCCAAGCCTCAGTTTCCTTAGTTGTACGATGGGAAGCCAAGAGAGAATCAAAGGGAAATAAGGAAACAGAAACCTGGAGAAAAGGGACAGAAAACCTGACAGAAAGGGGGACAGAGACCCAGAGAGAGGGAGGCAAACCCAGAGAGAGGGGAACAGAACTGCAGAGAGAGGGGGGACAGAGACCCAGAGAGAGGGGGACAAACACCCAGAGACAGAGACCCAGAGACCCAGAAAGAGGCGGGGGACAGACACCCAGAGAGAGATACACAGACAGAGACTCAGAGAAAGGGAGATGCTGAGACACTTTTATTTTAGCTAAAGGCCTCCCAGGAACCCTGGTGGCACAGTAGTTAAAGCACTTGGCTGCTAACTGAAAGGTCGGTATTTGGAACCCACCAGCCGCTCCTCAGAAGAAAGATGTGGCAGTCTGCTTCCATAAAGATTTACAGCCTTGGAAACCCTATGGGGCACTTCTACTCTGTCCTGTAGGGTCGTTATGTGTCAGAATCCGGCCGTTAGGTTTTTGGTTTTAACTGCCTCTCAAGTGCTTACTTTCCTCATCCCTAGCCTGGGTTCTGGAGCATCTAGGGAGGAGGAGGAGGAGCTCCATCCAGGCTCCCCCCTCTGTTTTTGTCCTCTGCAGAGCCTCAGGGCCATCTTCCTCTCTGCGTCCCTAGTCCTCTTACCCTGAGATGATGAATATCACCCTGAAGTTCCCTCTTTATAGTCTCACATTTCTACCCTTGCCCCCATTTTATGAGTGTGAGATGCTGAGACCCTCGCTTAGAAAGCCTGAGTCGGAGATCTCGCATCTCCTAATACGAACAATGAATATCAAGTTTCAGGGGCTGTAATCACATCTTGGATTTCAGGGTCAAATATCATCTTCTGTCAACCTGGGTCAAAGTCTACCATCTCATTGACTGACATGTTCTTCTGATGGAGGAGGGGGAGCCCCTGCCCTCCTGGACTATTTATTCTGGGGGGTTCAATCCTCCCTCTCTCTCTGGGTGTTGTCCAGCTCCCTGTGGTTTCTGCCCCCCCCCCCCACCATTTCTTAACCACCTCTCCCACCTCCTTAAGTTCAAGGATGGGGAGGGGCAGCTGTGTTCTCTTCTCTTCCACCTCCCATCCCCCCAGACCGTCTGGCTGTTCTCTCCTCCCCCGTCCCAGTCTCCCTCGCCTCCATCTGTTCTAGCCCCTTCCTGGGATTCAGCCCGATCCCCTGGCTGCCTACCCGCCTCAGAGAGGGGCCGCCCCTCACAAATCACATCCCGAGCCTGTCCCTCCTCACAGTCTCCTTGTCTCTCTTCACCTTTCTCAGTATCTTTGTCTCAACACACAGGGTCTCTGTCCCCTCTCTCTGCGTCTATATCCCACCCCTAGGTCTCTGTCCTCTCTCTGGTCTCTGCTCCACCTCTTTCTGGGTCTCTGTCCCCCTCTCTCTGGGTCTCTGTCCCCCCTCTCTGGGTCTCTGTTTCCCTCTCTCTGGGTCTCTGTGCCCCTCTATCTCTGGTTCTCAGTCCCTCTTTCTCTAGGTCTCTGTCCTTCTCTCTCTCTAGTTCCCTGTCCCCCTCTATCTCTGTCACTCTCCTTCTGGGTCTTTCCCCACCGGCTTCAGGGGGCCTCTCTCTCCCTGCAGCCTCTCTCTGGGTTTGAGGCGGTCCTCCAAGTACCCTATCTGTCATCACAGGCTCAGTCTTGGATCCAGAGCGGGCGGGGGCGAGAGCCATGCTGGGGACCGAGCCAATCCCCCACCAGGGCCATCTGTGCCCTGCCAGGACACCACCCAACATTCGTCCTCCCTACCCCCTAGGCTGAAGGCCTGAACTCAAGGTTCCCCAGGGACACCAGGGCTGGGCTGCTGGACTCCAGGGTCCGGATCTCTCCCCAACCCCTGCATCCGTGGGAATGGGCTCTCAGTGGCTGTGATAGTCAGCTGAATGTCAGCCGCACACCTGGGCCTGGCAGCACAGAAGGGCAGGCCACCGGGGCCAGTGGAGGAGGGGGCGGTATATATAGCAGACGTGGCTGCAAAGCATCTGTTCTCTTGACACCTTTGCTGAAGCATCTCCTTAGCACCTTTTGCTTCCTCAAATAGACTCCTATCTGGCAGAAGGGGCTGGGGAGAGTCTCTGGGTGTGGGGTGGTGGTGGGGGCACAGGCCCCAGGATCCCAAGGGTAATCTGGGTCCTAAACTCCTGAGTCCAGGGAGATGACAGGGCTGAGGAGGAGGGGGTTGGGGGCCTAGACTCCTGGGTTTGAGGAAGGAGAGGGCTTGGGCCTGGATTTCCCGATCTGAGGAAGAAGGGGGCTGGGGACCTAGACTCCTGAATTTAAGGGAGGATGTGCTAGGTTTTGGGACTCCTGGGTGTGAGGGAGGAGAGGGCTGGAGGCCCGAACTCCTGGGTCTGAAGGAGGGGGGAGCTTGGACCTGGATTTCCGGGTCTGAGGAAGGAGGGGGCTGGGGCCTGAGCTCTTAGATCTGAGGGAAGAAGGCTCTGGGGTGCAGATCCTTAGGTCTGTGACTGGGGGGGGGGATGAGAGTCTGGAACTTCCCAGTCTTTGACTCTTGCTGCCCCTCAGCCTTCTAGAGAAGCGGCAGGAAGGTGCAGAGACGCTGGAGCTGAGTGCTGACGGGCGCCCGGTGACCACACAGACACGGGACCCACCGGTCCTGGACTGCACCTGCTTCGGCCTCCCTCGCCGCTACATCATCGCCATCATGAGTGGGCTGGGCTTCTGCATCAGCTTTGGCATCCGCTGCAACCTGGGCGTGGCCATTGTCTCCATGGTCAACAACAGCACGACCCACCACAGGGGCCACGTGGTGGTGCAGGTAGCACTGGGCAGAGTCCACACCCAATTGCCGCCTTCGCATCTTCCCACTTAGGCCACGCCTCTTCAAAACACAGCCTTAGTCGCTCCGCCCATCATGTGCCCCCCCCTTAGCACTGATTTCACCTCAGAGACCTCTTTACCTAAGCCCCACCCAGATCTAAATGAAGCCCCGCCCCCACTTCAGATCCCTGCTGCAAAATGTAGACTCCGCCCCAGTATCAGCTTTCATGGAGGCCTCCTCGCCCCACCTATCATTGCTCCTCCTCCATTGTAAGCCTACTAGCAGCTTTGCTCATGTCTGAGTCCCATGCATGTCCCAGCGATGCCATCTACTTAATCTCAGTCCCTTCTCAGGGTCCACCTTGAGTTTTGATCCTGGCTTTTCTGAAGCCCCGCCTCTGCCTATGTCCCGCCCTGTCTGCTCTGCCTTTTTCATAAAGTTCCGCCCCACCTCAGACTCCACCTCTATTTCAGTGTAGACCAAGGACCCATTCTGATTTGGGCGGGGCCTACTTGAAGCCTCACCCCCACCCCCGCCTTTCAATCAGGCCCACCCCCTTGACTAGTTCTTGTCACTGCCTAGTCTCCATCCAGGTCACGACGCACACAAAGTGACCCGTTAGTAACTGGGATAGAAGTGGAGAAAGTCTCCATCACCATACATGGGCCCCAGACATTCAGAGAAGCGGCACTGAGGCAGGGAAACAGGGGAAACCAGGTTGTCTAGGCAGCAACGAGCCCCATTTCTAAGGTAGCACTGGACCTAGCGTAGTGGAGGAGCAGTTGTGCACTTTGATTGACAGAGGGATGGAACACTGGAGTGGGCTCTGATTGGCAGGTGTTTTGACGGCTAGGCGAGATCGTTGATTACTGATTGGCTGCAAAACTCAGTCTGTGGCACTGATTGGTGGAGGGGCGGAGCCTGTGGCAGGGTGGTTTGTTTGATGTGCCTTTTTGGTCCGCAGAAAGCCCAGTTCAGCTGGGATCCAGAGACTGTCGGCCTCATACATGGCTCCTTTTTCTGGGGCTACATTGTCACCCAAATTCCTGGAGGATTTATCTGCCAAAAATTCGCAGCCAACAGGTACAGAGGTGGGATCTCATGGTGGGCGGAAACTATAGTTATGTGTGTGGAGTTAGAGGGTGTGGCCTTGAATTTGAGGGAGGACTCTGGGGAAACTGGGGGAGCCTAGGTCCTGGGGCAGGATCTTAAGAAAGGAGGGCTTGCGATTGTGAAGGCGGGTTCACAGAGAAGGTGGGGTCCGGAGTTCCTGGAAAGGCAGGAAGGGCAGAATCCTAAGTATAGTGGACTGCTGGACCCTTTTCGGGGACCACGGGCTCTTCCCATCAGGGTTTTCGGCTTTGCTATCGTGGCTACATCCACTCTTAACATGCTGATCCCTTCGGCTGCACGCGTACACTACGGCTGCGTAATCTTCGTGAGGATCCTGCAGGGGTTGGTAGAGGTAAAGCCCCGCCCTATATGCCCCTGCCCCCTTTCTAACCCCGCCTCTTCTCATTAACCCTCGTTTTCTGCTCCTCAGGGAGTCACCTACCCCGCCTGCCACGGGATCTGGAGCAAATGGGCCCCGCCCTTAGAGCGTAGTCGCCTGGCCACTACGGCCTTCTGCGGTGAGGGATTGGCACTGGGGATCCAGGCTCTGGGGTCTGAGGGAGGAGGGGCTGAGGGTCTGGATTCCTGGGTCTGAGAACGAGGGGGTTGGGGGCCTGGACTCCTGGCTCAGGGGAGGAGGGGCTGGGGACCCAGTAAGGTGTATCTGAGAGAGGAAGGGTTGTGGCTTGTACTTCTGTGTCCTAGAAAGTTGGGAGCCCGCGCTGCTGGCTCTGAGGAAAGAAGGGCCTGTTCTCCAACCCATATCCTCCCTTTTAGGTTCCTATGCTGGGGCAGTGGTCGCGATGCCCCTCGCCGGGGTCCTGGTGCAGTACTCGGGATGGAGTTCCGTGTTCTATGTCTACGGTGAGGGGCCCGGACTCCTGGGTCCGGGTGGCGCACGGGCGGGGCGGAGCCTGTCGTTATTCTGCTCCCATCCCCATCCTGACCCCCCTCCCCAGGCAGCTTCGGGATCTTCTGGTACCTTTTCTGGTTGCTGGTCTCCTACGAGTCCCCGGCGCTGCACCCCAGCATCTCGGAGGAGGAGCGCAAATACATCGAGGACGCCATCGGCGAGAGCGCCAAACTCATGAACCCCGTCACGGTCCGGGCCCAAGCTCGGGGGGCTGCCTGCGGGGCGGGAGCGCTGGGGGACAGGGAGGGACATCAAGGTACCGAGGCCGGACAAAAGCCGGCTTTGAACCCGCGCCGCCAGGTTTTAGCGTGTGTAGATCGCGGTGGGTTTCTGCAGACTCTCAGAGAAGACAGGGTTAGACTGCAAAGAAGGCGGGGCTAGAACCCAGGGGGCTGGGTTAAATCTGAGAGCAGGGTTAGGTGGCGATGTGGGCGGGATTCGAACCGCTGATGGGGCATGGTTTAAAACAACCGGGACCAGATTGGAGTGTGGAGGTTTAAATTTAGGCCTTGGGGTGAGTCAGGCTAGATTTAGGGGGGTCGTTGAATGGAAGGAGACTCCTGGGCCCACATTTATGCATCCCTGAGGGTCATTGTTGGGCTAGGACATCTTTGAATTTGAGAGGCCACCTTAAGGTCAGAATCCCTGTTTCTGAAGTGTCACCATGATGCTCGAATTCCTGGGTCCCCCGCTGGGACATGTGGGGCCCGTGCCTCTGGGTCCCTAGATTTACAGTGATGTCGGATCCATGGGTCTCTGTGAGACTATAGTGGGGTCCCTGAAGGGACACGGTGACGTCCCTAGCGCTGATCTCCATCTTAGCGGCCCCTCCCCTTGCCCCCACAGAAGTTTAACACTCCCTGGCGGCGCTTCTTCACGTCCATGCCTGTTTACGCCATCATAGTGGCCAATTTCTGCCGCAGTTGGACGTTCTACTTGCTCCTCATCTCCCAGCCCGCCTACTTCGAAGAGGTGTTCGGCTTCGAGATCAGCAAGGTGGGGCCCAGGCAGGCTGGGCAGGTGGAGCGGCGGGGTGGGGCCTGGACGGGAAGTCCAGATCCTGAGGGGTTAGAACGAAGAACAGGCAGGAGACGCCCGACCTGCAGCTCCTGAGCGCCCCGCGCTGTACGCACGCTTGCGCAGGTGGGCCTGGTGTCAGCGCTGCCCCACCTGGTCATGACCATCATCGTGCCCATCGGCGGCCAGATCGCAGACTTCCTGCGGAGCCGCCGGATCATGTCCACCACCAACGTGCGCAAGTTGATGAACTGCGGGGGTGAGTGAGCGGGGCCGGGAGGGGCGTGGCCTTGGAGAGGCGGGGCCTAGACCTTGTCCAGGGCAGCCTTGCGGACCCGACCTTGGTGGGCGGGTCCAGGGGGCTGGACCACCGAAAGAAGGGCCGGAGTCGGAAGGCGTGTTCACGGGGCGAGGTCAATCAGAGTCAGCGTGAAGGCGGGTCTGGAAGGAAAAGATTCCCACGCTTCCTGTTAGGGGCCACAGCCGCAGCCTTGGAAGGGCAGGGCGGGTGCGGCTATGTATTCAGGTGGAGCAGAGGCAAGACTAAACTGGGCGGGGCCTGCAGGGGGCCGGGAAGAGGAGGTCATAGGTGATGAAGAGGGGCTAAGAGTGGGGGACCCGGAGGGTCACGGTCTGGGCGGCTGAGAGGTGCTTGGGTAGGGCCTGAATCCTGCATCTTCGGGGCGTGGCGTCGTCAGGGGCTGAGCCTTGGAGACGTAGGAGCCTGGTTAGGGTGGGATCAGGGCAGAATGGGGGACAAGGCCTGGACCCAGCTCGGAGGTGATGAAAGTGGTGTGGATCCGAGCTGGGTTGGGGCAGGGCCAGGGAACAAGCCTAGAGAGGCGGTGTGGGGCGGCCTGCATCTTGGCCAGCTCTCAGGCAGGTGGCTGTTCGTAGGCTTCGGCATGGAAGCTACGCTGCTGCTGGTTGTCGGCTATTCACACTCCAAGGGCGTGGCCATCTCCTTCCTGGTCCTCGCAGTGGGCTTTAGCGGCTTCGCCATCTCCGGTGAGAACCACGGATCTGATGTTTGGGGGCCTGTGGTCGGCTCTGTAGGTAACTTCCTGATTCAGGAGGAGCCTCTTCGCCTCGCAAGAGGTGGACTAGAAAGAGCTGACGGTAGGGGGTGGCCAAGTGTGAGTCACTCAAGTGAGATGCGGGTGTGACGCCTTCTTGCTCGCCTCCCCGCCAGGGTTCAACGTGAACCACCTGGACATCGCCCCGCGCTACGCCAGCATCCTCATGGGCATCTCCAACGGAGTGGGCACGTTGTCGGGCATGGTGTGCCCCATCATCGTGGGTGCCATGACTAAGCACAAGGTCCGTGTGCCCACCCTGACCCACTCACCCCCCAAATTTGCTCATCATAGTCATTGGTGGTGCAAACGGTTAAGCGCTTGACTACTAACCTAAAGGCTGGTGGTTCAAACCCACTCAGCGGCTCTGTGGAAGAAAGGCCTGGTGTTCTGCTTCTGTAAAGATTCCAAAACAAACAAACCAAACCTACTACTGCCTGTCGAGTCAATTCCGACTCATAGTGGCCCCATAGGATTTCCAAGGCTGTAAATCTCTACGACAACAGACTGCTGCGGAGCAGCTGGTGGTTTCAAACTGCCAGCCTTTCGGTTAGCAGTTGATAGCTGTAAACTACTGTGCCACCAGGGCTCCCTGGAAGGATTACAGCCCAGAAAACCCTATGGAGTAGTTCTACTCTGTAACACATGTGCTCGCCATGAGTTGGACTCAACAGCAACTTTGTTTTACCTTCTTGATCATGTCCTTCATCTTCCGCAGGGCTCCATGTCCTGCCTTCTCTGGATCTCTGTCTCCATCTCTCTGAACCTCACACACTCCCCTTCTCTCTTCATGTCCTGTAGTTTGTTCCCCTGTTTGACCACTCAGTGAGTCCTAGTGGCAATGGTTAAGCACTGGGCTGGTAACTGGAATGTTGGTGGTTTCAACCCACCCAGTGGCTCCATGGGGGAAAGACTTGGCGACCTGCTCCCATTAAGATCACAGCCTGGAAAACCCTATGGGGTACTTCTAGTCTGTTACATGGGGTTGCTATGAGTTGAAATCGACTCCACAGCACCAGACGACAACAATATGACCTCTGTTCCTGTTGTCCCCCACAGACTCGGGAGGAGTGGCAGTACGTGTTCCTAATCGCCTCCCTGGTACATTATGGGGGTGTCATCTTCTACGGGGTCTTTGCTTCTGGCGAGAAGCAGCCATGGGCGGAGCCTGAGGAGATGAGTGAAGAGAAATGTGGCTTCGTTGGCCACGACCAGCTGGCTGGCAGTGACGACAGCGAAATGGAGGATGAGGCTGAGCCCCCTGGGGCGCCCCCTGCTCCACCTCCCTCCTACGGGGCCACACACAGCACAGTTCAGCCCCCGAGGCCCCCGCCCCCTGTCCGGGACTACTGACCATGTGCCTCCCACTGAATGGCAGTTTCCAGGACTTCCACTTCACACATCTATGGCCTGAGCTACAGTGTCAAGGGACCCCACTCCCCTCTATCCTGCCTCAGGTCTAAGAAGCACTCTCCCTTGTTCCCAGTACTGTCAAATCCTCTTCTCTTCCCAAACGCCTCTCAGGGGGTAGTGAAGCTGCAGACCAGCAGTTTCAAGGATACCCACATTTCCCTAAAGGCCTCTTAATAAGTTTCTGGGTCTCCTTCCCCACTTGTCTGCCTCAGTGGTTTCAGAACTCTCGTGGTTTTAAGGCACTTTTTGTTTCTTTTAACCCCAGGTACTGTCAGGCTACCCCCTGGGGTTACCCAGCCCCCATCTCCTTTCAGAAAAATTCAAGGTCCTTCTTCTAGAAGTTTCAAATCTCTCCCAACTCTATTCTGTATTTTCCGGGTTGGTTTAACCCATCACTCATTCCCGCCATTCCAGGGATTGATTCTCACCAGCGTTTCTGAGGGAAAATGGCGGTTTCAAGTCCCCCTTGCACACCCTTCCCCCAGCCCCCAGCAGATTCTAAAGTCTCTCTCTTGCTGAAGGACCAAATTCTCCAAGACTTTCTCCCTAGCTTTGCACAATGTCTAGGGAAAGAACCAAAATGGTGGCTTTAACAATATGCCTCTTCCCACCCCAATGCACTTTCTCGGACACGGTTTTCAGGTCTAAATAGTGGCTGCTTAAGTCAGTCATCTCAATGGTTAGAAGCCACCACCATTGAATTTCCCCATGGTGGTTTCAAGGCTTCCCCTTTCCCCCCCCAATTCCTTGCACTTTATCCTCCTGGGTGGTTTCAAGCTACCCTCAGTTTCTCAGTGGCCATTTGTTGTATCCCTCAGGGGCTAAATGACTAAAAAATCTGGGATCCTTCCCCTCTCATACACCCCTCTTCTGCTTAGAACTTGGGGAACATATGTTGGAGAAGTTACAAAAATCCCAGGAAAGGGAATGGGGATGGCAGAGGGGGTGTTTTCCCCGGGGCAGGGTTGTGTCTTTGTGTCTCCGTCTCTGTGACTGTAAAACCTGCCCTGCCCCACTCCCAATAAAATGCTTTGGTGTACAGAGTCAGTTGTCATTGGCCATGGAGTCACAGGAGTCCGGGTCCTGAGCCCCTTCTCCCGCAGATGTGGAGTCCAGCCTCCCAGCTCCTCCTCCCTCAGAACCGGGAGTCCAGCCCCCAACCCCTCCTCCCTCAGACCCTAGAGTACAGCCCTCCAGACCCGCTTCCCTCAGACCCAGGAGTCCAGTCCCTAGCCCCTCTTCCCTCAACCCAGAAGTCCCAGAACCAGTAGCCTAGGACCCAAGCCCTGTCCTCCCTCAGGACTCAGGCCAAAGGAGGTGACCAGCTGTGGGAACACGTGATTTATTCCACTTCAGACCTTGTTCTCAGATCACAGCGAAAGCATCTCTGTCGGATCAGACCCTCTATCCGAGAGGACTGCTATGTAGCAAAGCTGCCAGAAGGACAGGACCCTAGGTCCCTTCTCCATCCGGGGATACGCAGGTCTGGCGAGACCCAGGCGGGGCTCACACGAAGTTGTTGGGGAGCGTGGCAGGGCTGAGCGTCTCCAGGCGCTGGGGGGGGCCCCCGCTGGGCGGCGGGGGCAGCTTGGGTGGCAGCGGGGGAGTGGGCGACGGTTGCTTGGTGGCGATGTGCGAAGAGACCCAGGTGTTCGGCGCATAGAAGTAGAGGTTGTAGGGGTCCTGCTGGGCGTCCAGGTGCATAACTAGGGGAGTGAAGGGGCGGGGTTATCCCGGGCTGACAGTGGGACCAGTACCCTCGGTTATGCGTTGGCCAATGAGGAGGCAGGAGAGAGGAGTCAGACTACCTATTTGAACTGGGGCACCTGAATAAACAAGGAGGCCTGGCTTCCGTGCAACAGGGGCGAGGCCCGGAGTAGAGGGGGCGGGGACTCGCGTGGGAGGGGCGGGGCTGTGAACTTGTGGCTCCCACCTGATGCAATTCCCAGCTGGGCCCGGGGCCCGCACTGGAAGTGTGTGTGTGAAGTTCAGTAAATTAGGGGCAGGATCTGACATTGGAGCGGTAGTGGCTTTCATTGACCTTGGATGGGAGGCTTATAGTTTTTTGCTGGGTGTCCTCAAGTGCCTGGCGAAACCCCGTGAAAGAGAGGCGTGGGCCTTCAAGGGGCGGGGTTCAAGGAGCGCGGGGCGGGGCCTGTTCCTTGGACAGAGGGTGAGGGACCTCACCCGGCTCGTCGTCGTCCCGGAGTCGGTGGTGCGCGAACGGTCGGTGCCGAGCAGCCCGGCGGTAGAGACACCACAGGAGCAGGAAGATGCAGATCAGGAGTCCGGTCCCGGCGAGGAATAGGCACAGGGCCCCGCCCGCCGCGCCCGGTGGGCGCCCCACCAGAGTCACGCCTTAGGAGGAAATGCCCAGGGGACCAAGGAATCTTAACTCCGACCTCCCAAGACCCAGGAGTCCCAGATCCCTCCTTCCTCGGACCCAGGAGTCCCGGCCCTCTCCTTCCTCGGACCCAGGAGTCTGACTTCCCCGCCTCTCACCGGTCTCCTTTACTCGTTCCACCACGATGATAGTGTTGACTCTCTCTCCTCGGCTGCGCTGCTGGGGGGCCCGCTGAGTGGCGGGTACTGGCTTACTGGGGGGCCCTGGAGGAGTAGGGGGCCCCGCAATCCGGGCTGAGGGAGGAGGGGCGTCGTGCCCTTTAGGGCCAGGGTTATGAGGGGCCTTCAGTTCAAGGGTCCCTGGAGAATCTGAGGCGGGTGATTTAGGGCAGTCGGGCTGGGTGGCTGCAAGGGTTTCTCGTGTGGGATTCAGAGGCACCTCGTTTAGGGCGGTCGCTTTATCCTTGGAGGGTGCAGACATGTTTGCATGAAGATTAGTGGAGAGTTCAGGGGCAGAGGTCATGGGGCTCTCTGTTGCACCTTGGTAGTGGGTTATAGAGAATTCTGTTTGGGGAATTTCAGTGGGGCTGGGGTTGTGGGTCGCATGGGATTCTGGGTAGGGTGTTTCAGTAGGGTCTAGGTGGGTAGTCTGGGAGAATTCAGAGTTGGAGGTCTGAGTGGTGTCAGGGTCATGGGTCTCTGGAGTTTTGTGGTCAAGGGTCTTGGTAGGGTCAGGGTCTGGGTGTAAGATTTCAGTGGAGTTCAGTTTGGGAATCTCAGAGGGTTCTTGGTGTGGCGTTTCAGTAGGGCCAGTGTTTGGGGTCTCAGGAAATTCTGGGTGTGAAGATTTGGAGGGATTAAGTTTTGGGGTCTCCAGGGATCCTAGGTGTGACGTTTCGGCGGGGTCAGGTTTGGGGGTCTCGGAAAGTTCTGGGTGTGTTGTTTTGGGAAGGTTAGGTTTTGTGGTCTCCGGGGACTCTGAGATTGAAAGTTTGAATGTGCTAGGCTTGGGGGCTTCATGGGACTCTGGATGTGAGGTTTCCGGGAGGGCAGGACTGGAGGTCTCAGTGAAGTCAGAGGGGGAGGTCTCAGGGGAAACTGCATGCGGTGTCTTGGAGGGCTCCGAATCAAAAGTCCCAGAGGACTCTGAGTTAGCCTCTTCGGGAGTGGAATTTTCAGAGGCTCCAGGGGAGGTCGCAGAGGGGCCACATCCCGGGAAGTGAGAGCCCGCAGGCAGTAAGGCCGAGGGGGCGGCCTTGGAGCCCAGCCGGGTGAGGAGGAAGAGAAGGAGGAAGAAGACCGGGCAGAATGGTTTCATGGCTCTAGGAGAAGTCTGTAAGTGTGGGGCAGCGGGAAGGAAGGAGTTAAGTCTGGAAGCCGCCCGAGGCCCCGCCCACTCCCAGAGGCCCCGCCAGCTGCCCCCCTGGTGGACGGCGTCTGGGCCCGAGCTGGGCGCCAGGGGAAGGAGGAGGGCCCAACTGCAACTCCCCGAGGGCCGCCGTAGCTAAGGGAGACCGAAGCACAAGCTTCTTGGGGGTCGTAATTAGCCTTATCTGTTCCCTCAGGGGTCCCAGAATTAATTGGGAAAGCATGACACCTCTCCAGTCCCCCATTCCTCCTCAACTTAGTCTTTGGAGGATGTCAGGACCCGGCCGAGGGGACGCGGGATGGCTTTCCTCTCGAGGACCCCTGGGACACTTTGAGTCAACAGTTTTTTATACTAGAGGAAGCTCCGAAGAAGCGGCTAGGGGTCGGGCCGCGACTCCTGGGTCTGAGGGAGGAGGGGGCCGGAGATCCAGACTGCTGAGTCTGAAGAAGCAGGGGGCTGAAAGCCTGGCCTGCTGGGTCTGAGGGAGAAGGAGCTGGATCTTGGACCCCTGGGACTGAGGGAGGAGGGAGCTGGGGGCCTGGACTCCTGGGTCTGAGGGGACAGGGGCTGGAGGTCTAAATTCCTTGTTCTTGCAGAGAGGAGAGACCTGTAGGTTCAGATGCCTAGAATTTTGAGGGGCAAAGTTTAGGGGGCTGGATTACAGAGGAGAAAGGAGATGGGGGTCTGAACTGTTGGGTCCTGAGGGAGAAAGGAATTGTTAGCTTTGAGTCCTGGATCCTTGATAGGGATCTGGGGGCTTGGACTCCTCAGCCTTTGGGGAAGGAGAGGACTGTGGGGTCCAACCCCATCTTTCTGTTTATTGAGAATGGAGCTGGCATCCCAGGGTCCCAGAAGCTGGTGTGGGGAGATATGTGTAAGTCTGGTTAGGTGTAGGTGCACCCACCTGGTTGGGACAGGGTCGCCTGGGGTCCTGGAACAGGTCCTGGGTCTCTTACCTGCTCGGTGGGGTCCAAGACGACAGCAGGTGAGCAGAGCTGGGAGCAGAGACAGGTGAATGCTGCAGAATGGTGCTGGCTGGGGTGGGGGATGTAGGGTCCCAGGGGCACAGGTGACGCACCTGACCTCCCTCCCCAGAGATTCTGGGAGCCTAGCGACAGGTTTGGGCTCTTAAAGGAACCGAGATAAATGATAGTGTCTCTAGGGTGGGGAAGGGAGTCAGGGATGGGATTATCTGGTGGAGGGAAGTGCCCCCACCAAGCTGACTTCCCTCAGACCCAGGAGTCCAGCCCCAGCCCTCTCCTTCCCCCAAACCCAAGAGTCTGGGCCTCTGGCACCCTCCTATCTCAAAACCCAGGAATCCTGGTCTCCAGACTCCCCCTCTGGAGTCCAGTCTTCTGGCCCCCTCCTCCCTCAGACCAGAAGCCCAGGCCTCTACCCCCTCCTCCATCAGACCCAGGAGTCCCATCCCCCAGACCCCTCCTCCCTCAGACCTAGGGCTCCATGATCCCAGCTCCTTCCTCCCAAGGATCCAGGAGACCAGGATCCCAGCCCTATCATCCTCCTCTAGAATCCAGGGGTTTGGGCTCCCTAGCCCACTCTTCCTCCAAGACGTAAGTCCAGACCCCTGTCCCCTCCATTCTCAGACCCAGTTGCCCAGCCCCCCAGCCCCTGCTGTCTGGGGAACCAGGACTCCAGGTTCCCACGTCTTGCCAATTAGGCCCTTTTCTGATTTCCCAACCTTTGCCCACTTCCCCACCTTGCAGAGGGCCCCAGAATCAGTGGAGGGTGGGTGGACTGGTCCTTAAATCTTCAGGATCCCTAAATGCCAGGGTGGGCAGCAAGATTTAGACTCCACAGTGTAGCCAGGTCATCATCTGCCTCTTCTTCACAGTCCCTGTAAGGTCTTTTCTGATTTGTCTCTCATGAGACTTCTCCTCACACCCCCACCTCACACCCCCTTTGCCATCTCTTGCTGTGCCCCATCCTTATCATCACTCCGTCTTTCTGGTTCTCCCCCTGCCTCGACTGATCTCTGAGCATCTCTGTCCCGGAGCATCTGTGCTTCCATCTCCCTCTGTCTTTCTGAGGTTCTTTCTTTTCTGTCTTCCTTTTCCTTTCTCCTTCCCTCTTACTGCATTTCTTCCTCTTTCATACTCCCTGTCCTGTTCTCAGTCACTCTCTGTCCTTGTCCATCCCTCTCCCATCCCTTTGTGTCTCTGTGTCCCCACCAGCCCTTCCTCTCTGCTGCTCTCCACGTCCCTCTTCTCTCTGTGTCTCTGTCTCCTGCTCTGATGGCCCCTCCACCAGCCTCTATTTTTATCCCACTGACACACCTCCTGTGTCCACCTCTCTGTCTGTCCATCTCTCCCCCTCTCTCTTCTCCTTAGGTCCCAGCTCCTGGTCCCAATTAGTTGGTGGCCTCCGAGGCGGCTGTGGCTGGGCCCCCACCCCCGCCTGCTCATTACCGCTGGCGGCTCCTAATGAGCCTGGGGGCGGGGCTGACCCCGCGCCCCCGGCCCCCCAGCCTGCATCACTGCCCGCTGCGGGGGCTGTGCAGGCGATATAAGGGGGCCACCACATCGCTACCGGCGACCACTGCGGGGTAGGGGGCCCCCGCGGGTGGGCTGGCGGGGGTGGGGAGTCCCGTTGGCTGGGAGGGGTCGCGTGTCTCACTGAGTGCTTCCCTCTCTCTCCACAGGTGATGGAGACTCGCCAGGTGTCCAGAAGCCCACGGGTGCGGCTGCTGCTGCTGCTCCTGCTGCTGGTGCCCTGGGACATCCCCGGGGCTTCAGGAGTCGCCCTGCCTCCCATAAGGGTGCTCAGGTACGTGTGGGGCTAGGTCTCCCAGGGAGAGGGGGCACTCGGAGAGGTGGGAAGAGACCCAAAGAGAAAGGAGGACAGAGATCCAGAGGGGAGGGAGGACAGAGACCCTGAGAGAGAGGGGGACAGAGACCCTGAGAGAGGGGGACAGAGACCCAGAGGCAGAGGGAGGAGAAGGAGGATCGACAGAGAATCTGCAAGAGAAAGACACAAAAAGATAGACTCTGAGACCCCAAGAAAGGCATTAGGAGACTTGAAAGGAGTCGGAGCAGAAGAGGATTCCTTCCTAGAGCAACGTTTATTGAGTTGTTACTGTGTGTCAAGCCGTGCGCCGAGGGACTAGGGGCAGACAAGTGATCAGACTCGTCCCCGTACTCAGGGGGCTTCAAAGAGAGACACACAGACCCGCAGAGAGAAAGAGAGACGGAAGGACAGGGGGATAGAGACAAAGCCACGCCACCAAAGGTGCAGCAGTAGGGCTGCGAGCTAGACCGCGGAGAGGACCGGTGGCGGCGGGCAGGGGCCAAGACGGGCGCGTCACCGCGGTTTTCGGTCTCCCCGCAGCCTCCGCACCCCTGGCCGGGCCTGGACAGGCTCGGGCAGACCCCAGTCGCGGCGGAGCCTGGCGCTGGCGGACGACGCGGCTTTCCGGGAGCGCGCGCGGCTGCTGGCCGCCCTCGAGCGCCGCCACTGGCTGAACGCGTACATGCACAAGCTGCTGGTGCTGGACGCGGCCTGAGCACCGCCTCCCGGCTCAATAAAGACTCCGCTGTGCGCTCTGACTGCTGCTCCTTCCTGCGCGTCTCTCGAGGGCGAGACGGGGGGTGGGGCTTGCGTCTGCCACTCGGGTGTCTCACTTTCTCTCTTCCTCTCCTATCGTGGTTTCCTTCCTCCTTCTGGATCTCAGTCTCCTCTCCCAGGCTCTGTCCCCTTTGTGTCCTAACCCCCCTCCCGTGTCTCTGTCCCACTCTCTGGTTCTCTGTCCCCTTTTCTCTGCATCTCTTTTCTCTTTCTACCCCCCTGGCTTCCTTGCCTTCTGGGGATCTCTGCCTCCTCTTTCCACGCTCTTCTCTCTGCCTCTAAAACTCTTCCCTCTCTCCTTTTTCTCTGCCTCCTTCACGTCTTCCGTTTCTGTCTTCCTTTGGGTCTCCATCTCTCTGTTGCATCTGACTCCTCCAGGTCTCATTTCCTCTGGATTTCCCCGTTTCCTCCATCTCCTTCTTTCCCCACTTCTTCCCAGGTTCAGCGGAAAGATGAGGATTCTGGACTGAGACTATCTGGCACCAAGCCCCCCCACAACCCCTTGCCGTGGCGTTGATTCTGACTCTTAGCGACCCTATAGGACAGTAGAACTGCCCCATAGGGTTTCCAAGACTGTAATCTTTTGGAAGCAGATTGCCATATCTGTCTCCCGCGGATGGGCTGGTGGGTTCGAAACGCTGACCTTTCCGTTAGCAGCAGAGCGCTTAACCACTGCGCCACCAGGGCTCCTGGCCCCCAGCCCAGATGCCCCCAAACCTAGCTGTGCGATATTGGGAAGGGCTTCTTAACTTCTGAGTCTCATTTTCCTCATCCGTTATGAGAATTAAACCAGGCATATCTTGGGAAGGCTTTAGCACAGCGCCGGGCACGTGGCAAAATACCGAATAAAAGGGTTTTGCTTAACAAAAGGGTTCCACCTCTCTCGCAGCAGCCTCTAGCAGTATCTTCAGGGTTTTCTGACCGCGTCCTTCCCAGGAGACGTTCGGGGCGCCAGGATAGGGCGGGAGGAGGGGAGAGAGGGGGCCAGGTGTCGGGCTCCGCGAGGGAAGGGGCGGGGGCGGGGAGACACCTGGGCCGCAGGTGAAGCGAGGAAGCAGCCAATCAGAGTCCGCCTTTCTCCCTGGAGGCCTGGCTAGCCTGTCAGTCTCGCCGCTTAGTGGTGACCATAGTAACCCACTGCCAATGGCTGCCGAAGGCGCTGAAGCTCGGTCCTGGGCGCCGTTCATGCGGACCGCTTTCTGATTGGCCTAGAGGAGAAGGGGGCGGGGCCGGAGGGGCATCTGTGAGCGGTAGCGAGATCTCGCGGAATTTGCATTTCCGGGAAGCGGAGCGCGACCTAATTGGCCCTTAGGCTGGGGGCGGGACTGTTTCCGTGTGTTTCAGGAATACTGAATAACGAAAACAGTCTTCCTCAGAAGAACCCAGAGTTGGCCAAATTTTATAAATAAACAGAGTCTGAAAGTCACGAGCAATTTCCTCAAGTTTAAGCGCTAATAAGGAACAGAATACAAGAAGCTGGGCTATACGAAGAACGGGGCATCAGGATTGGTGGAAGACATTAAAAACCTGCGATACACAGATGACACAACCTTGCTTGCTAAAAGTGAAGAGGACTTGAAGCACTTCCTGATGATCAGAGACTATAGCCTTCGGTATGGATTGCATCTCAACATAAAGAAAACAAAAATCCTCACAACTGGACCAATAAGCAACATCATGATAAAATACAGAACATATTGAAGTTGTCAAGGATTTTATTTTACTTGGATCCACAATCAACACCCAGGGAAGCAGCAGTCAAGAAATGAAACGATGTATTGCATTTGCCAAATCTGCTGCAACTTTAAAGTGTTAAAAAGCAAATATGCAACTTTAAGGACTAAGGTGCGCCTGACCCAAGGCATGCTATTTTATTTTTTATTGTTGTGCTTTAAATGAAAGTTTACAATTCAAGTTAGTCTCTCATACAAAAATTTATACATACATTGTTTTGTGACCCTAGTTGCTCTCCCTATACTGTGACAGCACACTCTTGCTTTCCACCCCAGATTTCCCGTGTCCATTCAACCGGCTCCTGACCCTCTCTGCCTTCTCATCTTGCCTCTAGACAGGAGCTGCCGGTTTAGTCTCGTGTATCTACTTGAGCTAAGAAGCACACTCTTCACGAGTATCATTTTATGTCCCATAGTTCAGTCGAATCTTTGTCTGAAGAGTTGGCCTCGGGAATGGTTTTAGTTTTGGGCTAACAGAGAGTCTGGGGGCCATGTATTCCGGGGTCCCTCCAGTTTCAATCAAACCATTGTCTGGTCTTCTTACTAGAATTTGAGTTCTGCACCCCACTTTTCTCCTGCTCCGTCAGGGACTCTGTTGTGTTCCCTGTCAGGGCGGTCATTGTGGTAGCTGGGCACCATCTAGTTCTTCTGGTCTCAGGCTGATGAAGTCTCTGGTTTATGTGGCCCTTTCTGTCTCTTGGGCGAATACTTCCCTTGTGTCTATGGTGTTCTTCATTCTCCTTTACTCCAGGTGGGTTGGGACCAATTGATGCATCTTAGATGGCTGCTCAGTAGCTTTTATGACCCCAGAGGCCACCCACCAAAGTGGGATGCAGAACATTTTCTTAAAAAACTTTGTCATGCCAATTGACCTAGATGTCCCCTGAAACCATGGTCTCCAGACCCCCACCCCTCTGCAGCTCAAATTCTCCCCTGGCTCCAAATCTTTTTTTTTTTTCATTCTAGCAGCACTGTATTTATTGCCTATGGCTCTCCACACACAGACTTTCCCCCATCACCTGCTCTTTGCATAAGCTGTTTTCTCTGTGTTCATGACACCCTTCCCTGACCCCTTCTCATTGTCACTAACCCTTCTCCATCATCCAAGACTAAACTGAGATGTCACTTTTATGGGACAAATTCTCTGACCTCTCAGGCTGTTAGGTGCCTTTTCTGGGCTGCCACAGAGCCTGAGGCTACCTGAATCATCACACATTATAAAAATGGTGTGGCATAGGGCATCAGACCTCCTCATCTAACTTCATTAGGGGGAGGATACTCACCATCACCATCAGCCCAAGGCTAATTCCTATGAGGTGGAGGTCAAACATATCTGCACCCTCCGGTCTTTTTACTATTTCTGACATCAGCCATCCCTCCTGTGGCATTCTCTACTTCTTTGCTGGGTTCGATAATTTGTTGCAATGGCCACACAGAACTCACAGACAATACTCATGATTTTCGGGTTTATTAGGGAAGTAACGTTATAATTCAGGATCAAGAACCACTCAGGATAGAGCTCTTCAATCAGGCCCTCGGCCTGGCCTCTGCCCTGCTCAGGCAAGTGTTACAAAGCCCTTTAACTCTGCCAGTAAGTGCCTGGAAGTCTCCTGCCTGAAGGCACTCAGCTCTCTCACTCCGTGGGCTGGGAAGCCCACCATGCCATCTGGCACTGGTCTCCTGATTCTGCTGCTGCCGTTTGCCATTTGCATGGTAGCGGACATCTGTGGTCTATACCTGCCCCACATCCCTTTTCCTTATTCTGTGAAGAGAATCTCCACTTCCTCTGGACCGTCCATCTCACAGGTGGTGGGGATGGGATTCTACTGTAATACTGCATCACAGTTAAGTCATAAAGATGGTCAAGATGAACAAGAGCGAGGTTTTTTGGTTTTGTGTGTTATGAGGAAGCTGGAAGATTCCCCCATTCCTGACCTAGGATTCAGTTAGGACTGGGTCAACCCAGGCTCCTACCCACGGGGTAGTGGCAGGATGGAATCAGGACCTGGAAGGGGTAGGGTAGAGATGTAGACAAGGAAGGAAGGAGGGGTGATCAAAGAGAAGGGGTGTCCAGGAGCCCCCTCCAAGTAGCATGGCAATGTAGGCTGAAGCAGGAGCATCAGAGATGGCAGGCTGGTGGTCTCTAGGTGGCCTGTAACAGTGTTTGGTCTGTGCAGTGTTTTCCATTTGAATTAGTTGCTGTGGCAAGACACTTTATTTGCGTACCCAAAATGCCCCCTGCTAACAAGCGAGATTACGCTGGGCAGCGCTGTACCAGCCCCAGGGGAGACGTCCTGTCTCCCAGTCTCCCTTGCAGCTGGCAGTGGGTGGTCAGGCCCAAAGGTTCTCAGCCAACGAGACATACACACAGATCTGCTGGCGGCTCTGGGAAGGGTTTTGCTTTTCTTTATAAAAAGGACAGTGTCATTGAATTGTACATGTAGAATTTGCTGAAACGCTATATCCCGTGGTGTGTATTTTCATGAAAAAATGAAATTTTTTAAAAAGGAAAAAAAGTAAAATAAACATAAGAACACACGCACACGAAGGAAGGGATGTGTCCTTTGGGAGGTTTTATTGTTTGTTGTGTTGTTGCTCCCTCCTTCCTGCAGATGTGAGGTATGAAGCTATTGACTGTCACCTCCTGAGCATGAGGGAAAGGCCAGGAGGGTCACAGAGACCCTGGCCCTGGTGCTGTGGAGACCCTGAACCATGGGCCCACAACAGCCCACCAGACTTGTCTTGTGAGAAAAATAATGCCTATTACTTAATCCGTTGTTGAGCGTGTTTCTTGGTTCTTTAGAAATGCTGTCGCCAACATTAAACAAGGAGAATTTACCTAAGCCAACATTAGGGTGTAGACCCCAGAGTACTGTCTCTGGGGTCTTAATAGTAGGGTAACCCCAAGTAACTACCACAGTCTCCCGGGAGTAACAGGAAAAAGAGCCCCAGGGGGGTTTACTGAACTGGCAATTGCTGGGGGGCGGGGAGCAGGCTCACACTGGGGGGGATTGGAGGTAGCTGAGCTGGAGGTGGGGCCAGCTGGGGGGCGGGGACTGGCCCAGCAGCAGGACTGAGAGCAGTAGCAGCAGCACCAGGCCCAGGAACGGCGCAGGGACCAGCGGGTGCCTCGTGACCCTGGGGTTGGAGGAGAGCGTGCTAAGGGCAGGATGGGGAGACCCCGCCTTCCAGCAATGCCCCCGGTGTCTGACCGCCCTCCTCCCCCTGACGCCTCTGGCCACACCTGAACTGCTGGGGCGGCAGGCAGGGCAGGCCGAGCTGACCCCGGTGCCGCCTCCCGATCTGGCCCAGCTCTTTGGTCGCTGGCACCGGCACCAGGGCTCCGTGGAGGTTGGGTTCGGGGATGGCAGGGCTGCTGGAGAGAAAGGAAGGAAGGGGAGATGGCTGGTGGGCTTTTCCCGTCCCCAAGTCCCCTCTCAGGCCCCGTAGGCCCGATTACCTCTCAGGAGGGCTTTCTGGGATGTTTCCAAGGTGAGAGGCTCCCATAGGGATGGGGAGATCAACCTGGGGGACAAAGGACAAACATGAGTCACTGCATCCTGGATTGGCCTTCAGTTCAGCCCAAACCAGCTGCCATCCCGTCGACTCTGACTCACAGTGGCCCCATGTGTTACAGAGTAGAATTGCTCCATAGGGTTTTCTTGGCTGTAATCTTTACAGAGAACCAATTCAATGGCATCTAACAACAACAACGTTTACAGAAGCAGATCACCAGGCCTTTCTTCCATGGCACTGCAGGGTGGGTTCAAACCACCAACCTTTAGGTTAGCCCTTGATTGCAAACTGCTTGCACCACCCAGGGACGTCTATTGGATTAGTGTGGGCCTTAAATTCAACGAGAATGAAAAGGACACACAGGGAGGGTCACAGGGAAAACAGAGGCAGAGATCGGAGTGATGCGTCTACAAGCCATGGAACCCCAGCAGCCACCAGAAGCCCAGAGAGAGACATGGGATGGCCTCTCCCTTGGAGCGTCCAGAAAACTCCAGAACCAACGCTGACTTCTGGCCTCTGGAACTATGAGAGAATACATTCCTGCTGTTCAAAGCTACCCCGTTTGTGGTACTTTGCTGTGGCCCCCAGGAAGCTCACACATCACTGGAGGGTCCCAGCCGCTGAAGCAGGGCCTGGTGTGCAGAGGGAAGGCTCCTCCCCTCGCCCTTTCTTGCCTGAGAATTGGGGTTGCAATCCCACCGGCACTGCTGCTACGAGGAGTGAAGGGCCAGTGTGTGTGATGCAAAGCTGTGACAGGCCTGGTGTCCCCAAAGGAGTTCCGGGCTGGGGCAGAGGGCCGTCCCCTTCCCTGGTGTGTGGGCACGGGTGAGTGTGCATTGATGCAATCTGGGGGTGCAGCTGTGTCTGCGTGGGCCGCAGCCAGGCGGATGCTGCCCTATGTGTGTGCGTGTGTGGCTGGGGGTCCCCTGGGAACATTCTGGCCGCCCACCGACCTCCAGGCCTCCCGCCACCTCCCCCTCCGCTCTCATTAGCTACAGCAAGTGCCTTGTTATCTCTTGGCCAAATGATTTTTCTCTGCTCAGAGGAGCAGAGGGGGCTGGGAGGGGATGAGGCTACCATCAGCTGGTCAGCCTCCCTGGGAGGGGGTGGTGGTGGTGGTGCTGCAGCTAAAGGGAGCGGTGAGGGGTCCCAGTGACTGCCTACCGGGACCAAGGCCTCCGCTTCCTCCTCTTCCTCTCTTCTGGGCAACCTGAGGAGACAACAATTACTGCAAACACCCTCCTTCTCTACTGGTCCCACTCCCCTCTGCAGGGCTGGAAGGCAACCGTTGGAGCAGGGCCTGGGGACCACGCATGGGCTTGGGGCGTCCTTCAGCCCCAAGAGCAAAATTTCCTGTGTAGGTCAGCATGTGTCATCTTCAGGGGAATTTTCCACCAAATTCTCAAAAAAGTCTGTGACTAACCCCCCGCCAGAAAGGTAAGGGGGGCTTCTTCACCTCAGATTGCTTTCTTAGCTACAATTTTCCCAGCTGACTCCCAACTTGGGAACTGAGGCTCCCAGCTCCCTCATCCCCCAGACACCAGAGACTCAGGCCGTCTGAGACCCCCAAGGCAGCAAAGAAGCTCCAGGCCCCTCTTCCTGCCCATGGGGGTGTGCCATTTTCAGTGAGTCTCATCTACTGGGTCTTCTTTGAGGACTAGACCCCAGCTCAGACATCCTCCCTCAGGAACCCAACTGTTCAGTCCCCATCCCTATCCCAATCATTGATCTCAGGTGTGCAACCAGCCTCTGCCATGTCACAGACCCCGAAATGCCTCTCCAGTGATTCAGGCCTCAAGCTGCCCAGCCCGGACATCCCTTGGAGACCCAGACTTCCACACTACCTGCCACCGCCTTCCTTGGGGACCAGGGACAAACCCTTCAGTCATCAGCTTCAGATCCAACACCCTTGGGGACACAGCCATTTCCTGACACCCTCCCACCATGAGGGGTCCTGGCTGTAGGCCCCCGGCCTCCGCCCCAATCAGAGACACACTGTTTGATCCCTTGAGACTTCTACTCTGGACCCAGGAGTCTAGCCCCCCTCCCCTGCACCTCTCAAGGTCCAACCCCTCAACCCAGTTCCTGAGGGCCCCAGGAACCCCAGCTCCCTCACTCCCAGCTCCTCAACCTGTGGAACATACTGCACCCCCATCTCACAGAAATTCGGAAGTCTAGCCTGGCACCAGGGCCCAGCTGCTGTCAGTCCCTTCTCTTGGCCATTCCCTGGTGACGCAGGGGGAGGTCACAGCTCTGAACCCCCAGCCTGCCCAATCTCGCTCTGCCCAGATAAGTCCAATTAGAGGCCCAGGCAGGCAGCCTCATTAGTTGTTGCAGCCAGGAGCCCGCAAGGGGGGAGCGGGGAGAGGGAGGCACCACAGGAAACCGGAGGCCCTGAGGCCAGGGCCCAGGGGAGGGTGGGCTGAGCTGTCTAGAGCTTTCCATGTCATCTGAGGCCTGGACACAGCCTCCTGACAGTCGCAGGCACAGGACTGGGCTTTACTGCTCTGCAGCTGAAGGCTCATGTCAGCCCCATTGCCAAGTGCCCAAGTCACACAGCTGGGATTCAGACCCAGGCAGTCAGATTTCAGAGCCTTCCACCGCTCTCTGACGGGGAGCTCTCAAAGGGCCCCATCGGGGTTGCCTGCAATCCAGGGCTCCTGGGGGTCTCAGGAGAGGTGTGTTCAGTGAGAGGGTGACTGTTGGAGGGAGCTGCCCACCCACCTGGCAAGGGGTCTCCCATACACCCACACTCCTGCAACACTCCACTTGGGGGTCACCTCCCCAGAAGCCTTCCCAGCACCCTGTGCCCTGCAGGTAGGGTCAGGTGTGTGGTACTCCTCCTCCTAGAATTAACTGTCTGGGTCCTGAGGGCAGGGCCAGGTCTGATCCATTCCCTGCTCCTCAGCCCAGGGGAACGGAGGGAGTGACTGAGCGACTCCCTCAGGCCTCATCAGGTCCCGTCCACTAGACAGCTGTGCATCAGGCATCCCAGCCCAGGTAGAGAGGTGGCTCCAGAGGCCACAAACTCCTTACCACATACAGTGTTCGCTCCATTCTTCTTGGGGGTGCACTGGCTCTTCCTGGAAGTTTCTCTGTGTACAGAAAAGGGCAGGGACATCTGGGTGACTCCCCTGCCTCTTCTCACTCAAACCCTCTGTATGGGCTTGAGCCATGCCCCCCGCCCTATTGATGCCCACGTTTCTCCCCCAAGTCCCAGACCCCCATACACAGTGGTCTCCAGAGCTGCAGCTGTGCACCACCGTTTAGAACCTGCCCTCCTCTTTGGCCCCCACTCGATGATTGCTGTAGTACTCACAATGAGCAGAAGCCAGAACCTCGACAGTTGTTCTTGACTTGACTCCCGAAGGACCCAGGAGTCCTGCTCCCCTAGGTCCCCCGGGATGTCCTACAAGCCTCTCATACCTTGTTCCAAAAGGAGCTCAGCGTTTCCCTTCCAAACCCCCTTCTCCTCCCGGGCCCAATCTTGGGCCAGCCCCACCATCTGCCTAGTTTCTCTGGGCCAGATACCAGACCCAGGCCTCTCTCTGTTTCTCCCCCGGAGACTTCTCATCCTTGCCTGTGGCCTCAACCGACAACTCTACACTGTTCTATAAATATTTTCCTAAGCTCCAGCCTTGTGTACCCAACTGCCTCTGGGTGGCTCCCCTTGACGGCCCTCAGGTCCGTCACCTCACCACGGTGCAAGGTAAGTTTAAAACAAAATAACATTGTTTACAGAGCTGTTAAAAATATTTACTTTACAAAAAAATAGCATTCTTCTGGTGCTAATGGATTAAAATCTTACTTCTCTGACGGACGCTGAAGGTGACTCGTCTCAGTTGTTGCATGTGTTGTTGAACCATTGCTCAGATAATGATGGAAGTCAGAAAGCAATTGTTATGAGTTGCCAAGTCAGTTCTGACTGATGGGGACCCCACACGTGCGGAGTAGAACTGCCCCATAGGGTTTTCAAGGCTGGGACCTTTCAGAAACAGATCACCAGGCCTGTCTTCCAAGGAGCCTCTGGGTGGGTTTGAACCACTAACCTTTCAGCTATTGGTCGAGCGCTTAACCATTGATTTAGGAAATAATACTGGAGTTATTATTCCCTCTTCTTGAGCATAGAGAATGTGACCCAGCTGGAGCTGGGCTCACAAAGACTCACAAGGACACATCAACTGGGCCCTGAGATATAAAGACAATAGCTAAGATAATCTTGGAAAGTATCTTTTAGGGAAACTTTCACATAAAGCCAATCAAACAGAACACAAAAGACTTTCTACTCTTTTTCTATTAGCATTTAGTGAATAGAAATTTGTTGTACCAATGAAGACCCTCCTGACTCTCCTTACTGAAACCTGTACCAATGATTGTTAAGAAGGACAATTCAAAATGTATGATCACGGTTTCTAGCCAATCTGTGAAAAGGTGAAGCTTTCAATGGTTTTGCCCATTTGTAATGTTAATATATACTGATGACTCTGTAATGGTCTTTGGACTCAGGCAGACATGGCTGTGGCAGCATGCTTGTCTCTTTTCCCACTCTTGCCTATTCTGTAATATTCTTTGGACTTGGGCAGACATGGCTCTGGCAGCATGGTTGTCCGTTTCCCACTTTTGCCTTTTTGAATATATGCCGAATAAAACTTTCTTTTTGCTTTACTCAACTTTATGGTGTTTGTCCCCTACAACACCATTTGTACCACCCTGAGAGTCCTCATAAAGCAATGGCTGTGAAAATTAATAACAGCATAAAATAGCCTCAGTTGATGTCAAGATTTCATAGTGAGCTTGAACTTCCTAAGTTTTTCTTAAAGGTGCTTGTATTCAAACCATAAACCCTTGCTCACTTAGGACTTCTCTGTTGTTGTCATTGTTGGATGCCCTCAAGTTGATTCTGAATCATAGCGACTCCATGTGACGGAGTAGAACTGCCCCATAAAGTTTTCTAGGCTGTAATCTTTACAGGAGCAGATCACCAGGCCTTTCTCCCAAGAGCTTAACTGTCGCGCCACCGGGGCTCCTTTATGACCTCCCTACTGCAGCACAATTTTAAATGAGGTGATTCTTGACAGTGTGTGTTCTAAAAACCAAAACCAAGTGCACAAAGCAGTCTGTGGGTTTGCTTTGTTCCTTTTCATCTGTGGCACCAGTGGGCCAGTTCCTGGAGGGCAGGGGTGGTGTCCTGCCTGGCTGGTGGTTCCGTGTCCCACACACAGCAGACCCGCAGTTGGTATCTGCTCAGTGAACAGGGGAATAAGCAAAGGCATAACCCACTCACAGCTGCCTGACTCCTGTGCTCACCTCCCTCATGCTGACCTGTCCCCCAGGTGGGGCTTCAGGTGGAATCGCGGCTTCTTCGTCCGTCTCACCGACAACTTCCTCCCACTGCCACACTCCGCACAGAGGGCTGGAGAGATCTGCCGCGGCGGCCATGTCTTGTTTCTGGGAGGGGAGGAGATGTTTCTGAGGTCAGCCAGGGCCAGATTAAGCGAGCGATGTGGTCAGAATGGGGCTGGAGAGGGGCTTAGGTGTGGAGACAGGAATAGGATGGGGGGTGGCACAGGGCTGGGGTGGGGATCGGGGGGAGCTGGGGGGACAGAAAGAGGGGACGGTTTGATGCATTAGAGACCATCCTAGGGGTGATAACGGGGAAGGGTTAGAGTCCAGGCTGGATCAGAGCTGGGCCTGGCATGGGCTTGGGGTCGGGATCTGAGGTAGAGAATTCGAGAAGAACTGAGATTGGGGTGGGAGCCTGTCTGGCAGCAAAGGCAGTTAAGGATGGGCCAGGTACGAGGGTCAGAGTGAGGAGACATTGCAAGTTTCTGCCTTGGTGGTCTCTAGGGTGCTCCGAGGGTACCAGGCCCACCTGCTGAATGGCCTCGATCTCCGAGCCCAGCGATGGGGGCAGCAGCTTGGTCCAGCCCACTCTTCTCGCCTGGGCCCCTTCAGGCAGCCTGGCCACAGAGTCAGGAGGGAAGGCTGCCACTGAGCCTGCCACCTCTTGTCCCTCAGCCTGCCCTGGGGGTCCCTGCCCTGCCCACAGAGGGGCTGGAGCGGGGGGTTGGGGGTTGGGGGGCGGAGGTAACCCTGCCCTCGGCCCCCTCACTCCTCCTACCCCAGGGCTCCACTCCTCCACTCACTCATCTGGCCCCTCGTGGGTCTGAATCAGCTGCTCCTCCAGGTGTGATATTTCCAGCCTCAGCTCCTGCAAAGGGGGGCACCTGGCTCTCCATTCTTCCCCCATCACTGCTGATCTCCTCTCCCAGGGTCCCCTCCACTTCTCCCACTTCTTTGGGCTCCCCCAGACTCCTACTGCCAAAGGACAAGGGGAAGAAAGCAGTGACAGAAACCCAGGAAGTCAAAGAGAGACAGAGAGCAACAGAAACCAAGGCAATAAACCACAGCCAGGAAAATGAAGAGAAGGAAGACAGAGACAAAGGCACACGAAAAACGACAGACGCAGCCACAGAGGATGTACAAGAGACTCAGAGACCAGAGACAAGCCAGAAAGAGAGGTAGTCAGAGAGACAGCTGCCAGTCTCCCAAAGAGATGCAGAGATAAGAATCAAAATGAGGTAGCCAGACATGAAAAGATGCTCAACATCATTAGTCATTAAGGAACTGCAAATCAAAACCACAAATACCACTTCACCCCCACTAGGATGGCTATTACAAAAAACAAAAACAAAAACAACGGAAAATAACAGGTGTTGGCAGTGGCGTCACTAAAGGGGTGTGGGGGGTGCAGACCACACTGGGTGACAGTGTCAGAGAGGGTGACACCAAAATGACTGTCTATAAAATTTTTGTGCAGTGTCTCAGCAGAAACTTATTATTATTTTTATAAAAATATCTCTGTGGTTAGTTACAACAAAAAAATTTTTTGTACTAAGCCCAGCTCATATGTATAAACATATCTACAAGGCTAAAAATCTATGCTAATTTACTAATGTGCCCCATCAGAGCTCATTATTACCCAATTACAATGACGCTTCAGATCACGTGGTTTCACCTGTACCCGCTACAAGCACGCGCTACAAGCCGGTGCTGTTGTTTTTGCTGCTGCCAGTGTTTTTACTGTTGCTGATTTTGTTAAATTTTCTGGTGTTTTAGCTACAATATTGTGGTAATTAGCATGGGGTGGGTGACACCATGAGTTACCGTACTGGGTGACATTAACCCTAGTGATGCCACTGGGTGCTGGCAAGGATGTGGAGAAACTGGAACCCTCATCCATTGCTGGTGGAATTGTAAAATGGGGCAGCCGCAGTGGAAAACACTTTAGTGGTTCCTCGAAGAGTTAAACATAGAACTACCATAAACCCAAACCAAACCAAACCCGTTGCTGTTGAGTTGATTCAGACTGATAGGAAGCTAGAGTAGAACTGCCCCATAGGGTTTCCAAGAATGTAATCTTTATGGAAGCAAACTGCCGCATCTTTCTCCCGCGGACCGGCTGGTGGGTTCCAACCATCGACCTTTTGGTAAACAGCTGAACGCTTAACCACTGTGCCACCAGGACTCCTCAGAACTACCATATGACCTAGCAATTCCACTCCTAGGTATATACCCAGAAGAACTGAAAGCTGGGACTCAAACTGATACTTGTGCAACAATGTTCACAGCATGACTATTCCTAACAGCTAAAATGTGGAAACAATTCAAGTGCCCATCAAAGGAAGAACGGATAAACAAAATGTGGTATATCCCTACAATGAGATATTACTCAGCCATAAAAAGGAATGAAATTCTGATACATGGATGAACCCTGAAAATACGCTCAGTGAAAGAAGCAAGACACAAAAGGACAAATATTGTATGATCCCACTTGTATGAAATATCTAGAATATTATAGAGACCAAGGTTTATTAGTGGGCTGAGGGGAGGGGGAAATGAGGAGTCATTGCTTAATGGGTATGGGGTTTCCATTTGGGGTGATAAAAATGTTTTGGAAATAGATAATGGTGACAGTTACACAACATTGTAAATGTACTTAATGCCACTGAATTGTACACTTAAAAATAGTTAAAATACAGAATTTCATGTATAGTTTACCATAATAAAAAAAATCAGGAAAAAAATCAGCCAGACAGGCACAGACATGTAAGATGCAGGGAGAAGGTATTCACAGAGAAGGAAACTGAATGGGCGACAGAGATACACAGAGTAACAGCAAAACCATTTATGGCAGAGAGAAAAGCAGAGAGCGGGAGAGACTCAGTACTACAACAGAAATGGAAGAGGGGACATGTGGAGACTCAAAAAACGACCCACAGAGACAAAGAGGGGCACAGGGAGGGAGAGGCAGCCAACCCCAGAGACGGCAAAAGAGAAACAGGAGGGCCAAGCTGGCGAGCGCAGTGCAGGCATGTGGGCTCAGGCAGCCGTTACCTGGGTGGTTGCTTTGTACTCCTCCAGGCTCTTGGCCAGGCTCTCTGCATGGCGGGTGCGCTGGGAAAGCCCAAAGCTGACTGAGACTGGGCCCAGCCCCCAGAGACACTGGGGAGGGTGGTGTGGGAGGCTGGTGTGAGCTTAGGGGGAAGAGCAAGGGCCTGAGGGAGAGCACTGGCCAGAGGGGCTTTTAGGTCCTGGGGACAAGCCTGAGCCAGGTCATGCTGGTAACCCCAGCAAATCCTTGGCTCCCATCCCCCAGGTTACTGATCTCCAGGGACTGGGCCCAGGCAGGCCTTCCTTTTGAAGGGTGGGTGCAGGGGTGGGCAGGTGCACTGGGAGGCAGGCTGGCCGCCCTCCCCAGCGTCCTCACCTCGGAGAGGATGGCTTCTCGCTGGCAGATGAGGCACTCGCACTCGTACAGCTGCCACTGCCAAGGAAGGGGTGCGTCCGTCTGTCCAGCCCCAGATGCTCCGGGGCCTGCCCCGCCCTTCCTCTGGGCTGCCTCACTCCCTCTGGCCATGGCCCTGGACAACTGGGAATCCAGCTAAGCTGCCTTGGCAGCTTTCTGGGAGACCTTGGCTCTCACCAGGTGGCAGAGCTGGAGGTGGTAAAAATGGCCCTGGGGAGGGTAAGTGGCTGGGCACCGGGGAGGGGCAGGCAGCACCTTCAAAGCTTCCTTCTCTGTGGCCAGCTCCTCACTCCGCCTCTTCACTCCATCACACTCAGCCAGTAACTTCCCGTTCTGGAAGAAGGAAGAGCAGTCAGGTTTGCTTCAACAAATGGTGATGCTAATGCTCATGGCTGAAGGAACTCGGTAATGCAACTGTTAAGCCTTTGGCTGCTAACTGAAAGGTTGGCAGTTCGAACGCACCAAGAGGCTCCGCAGGAGAAAGACCTGGCAACTTCCGTAAAGATTACAACCTAGAAAACCCTATGGGGAGGTCCTTCTCTGTCACATGGGGCTACTATGAGTTGAAAATGACTCAAGGGCACCTAACAAAAACAAGTACTTGCTATGTTTTAGTCCATTTAATCCTCCCGGCCATCCAAGTGGGAACTGGGCCTTCATCTCTGTGCATCGGTCCCTCCTCTGTATAAGTGGAGATAATAATGGGACCTGCCTCATGGGGTTGCTGTTGGGTTCAAAAGAGCTAATAACAACTGCTAACACTTAGTGAAGGAGCCCTGGTGATGCAGTATAACTGAAAGGCTGGCAGTTCAAACCTGCCAGTTGCTCCATGGGAGAAAGATGTGGCAGATACCTATAAGGTGGAGGTCAGACATGCCTCCTCCCTCCAACCTTTTTACCAATTCTGACAAGAGCCGTCCCTCCCACGGCACTCTTTACTTCTCTGCTGGGTTCAATAACTCGTTGCAGTGGCCACACACAACTCACAGACAATATTCATGATTATGGGGTTTATTTGGGAAGTAATACATTACAATTCAGGATACAGTTCTTTGATCAGGACAGCCTCTTCTCAGCCATGCCAGCAGGCATGCCTCTCTCTGGCCCCTTGGCCTCTGCCCTGCTCAGGCAAGTGTTACAAAGCTCTTTTAGCTCTGCCAGTAAGTTCCCAGAGGCACCCCACTCTGCCAGCAAGCCTCCTGCCTGAAGGTGCTCAGCTTTTCCACTGCATGGGCCAGGAAGCCCAACATGCCGTCTCCTGGTTCTGCTGCGGCTATTTCTCAGCTGCTGCTTCTCGCCATCTCTGGTGTTACAGCTCTCTGTCTCCTAGAACCAGGAGGTTCTCAGCACAGGGATCCTGGGTCCAAAGGATGCATTCCACTCCTGGCTCTTCCTTCTTAGTGGCTGTGAGGTCCCCCCTTTTCATCCCTGGGATGGCTCATTTTAAGTCTAGTGGGATGGTAAAACTGACCTATTCCCTTGTTAGGGTTCCATATACCTTATTTGCATGGTCCCACGCCCACAAGGGTGTCATGCACCTTGTTTACATTAACAAGCTATCTAGTCCCTTTGGTGGACCACAAGCACCTTATTTGCATAGTTCCACCCAGTCATTTGGTGGGGGCTACAAAGACTATGACTAGAAGAACCATATTAAGTAATTCACTGTATTGCAGCTTCTGTAAAGATTACAGCCTTGGAAACCCTATGGGGCAGTTCTACTGTTTTGTATAGGGTTGCTATGAGTCGGAATCCACTCCATGGCAATGAATTTGGTTTTGGTTTAACACTTAGTGAGCACTTTGCAGGTAGTAACTCATTTTTCATCTCCCATCTTAAAGATAAGGGAAATTCAGGCACAGAAAGGTTGAGCAACCTGCTCCAAGTCACAAAGATGGTAATATATGCAAATATATGTTGATGAACGCTAATGAGCACAAAGCATTCAGAATAGTGCCTGGCTTATACATATATTGAGCGTTCGATAAATGTTAGAAGATACATATATAAAACAAGGTCCCTGGGTGATGAAAATGTTTGCGAATGGCTACTAACCTAAAGGTTGGGGATTGGAACCCCGCCCACCGGTACTGCAGAAGAAAAGGTTTGGCTGTCTGCTTCTGTCAAGATTGTTGTTGTTGTGTGCTGTCATGCTGATTCCAACTCATAGCAACCCTATATGACAGAGCAGAACTGCCCCATAGGATTTCCTAGGCTGCGATCTTTATGGAAGCAGATCACCAGGTGTTTTCTCCTTTGGAGCGGCTTCACTAACCTTTTGGTTAGCAGCCAAGTGCTTAACCATTGCCCCACCGGGGTTCCTTAAGATTATAGCCAAGAAAAGCCTACGGTAACACATGGGGTTGCCATGAATTGGAATCGACCTGACAGCAACTAACAACAAACAATATACGTAACAAACAACACATACATGTATGTTGTTTATTCTTTTGCATATACATGTTGTTTGTTGCTTTTATATATACATATATATATATATAAAAGGAGCCCTGGTGGTGTAGTAGTTAAAGCACTCAGCTGCTAACCAAAAGATCGGTGGTATGAACTCCCAGCAGCTCTGTGGGAGAAAGATGTGGCAGTCTGCTTCCATAAAGATTTACAGCCTTGGAAACCCTATGGGGCAAGTTATACTCTGTCCTATACAGTCGTTATGAGTCAGAATCGACGGCAGTGGGTATGTATATACAACGTGTATATGTTTTCCAAACATTTCAAAAACTTATTATATATTTTTTAATATAACTTGTTGCCATTAAGTTGATTCTGACTGATACAGACTCTACAGGACAGAGTAGAACTGCCCCATAGGGTTTCCAAGGCTGTAATCTTTATGGAAACAGACTGCCACATCTTTCTCCTGTGGAGTGGCTGGTGGGTTTGAGCCGTCAATCTTTCAGTTAGCAGCCGAGTGCTTTAACCACTGCGCCACCAGGGCTCCTCTATTTTTTAATATACACAAAAGTAAAAAGAACAGTATGATGTACTCCCATTATCGTTCACCCAGCTTCAATAGTTACATGCATTTTCCCAGTTTTGTCTCCTCTCTATCCTTCAGGTTTTTTGTTTTGTTTTACTAGATTATTTCAAAGCAAATCCTAGACATCATATTATTTCACCTGTAAGGACTCCAGCATTTATCTCTTACTTGAGGACTTTTTTTTAGCCAAACCACACTGCCATTATCACCCGTAACAAATTCATAATAATGCCTTAATACCACCCCATTCCCAGTTTGTGCTCATTTTTCTCTGCTTGTCTCACAAAAGGTCTGTCTGCATTTAGTTTGTCTGAATGAGGATGCAAACAAGGCCCACCACTGCTTTCACTCGGAACGTCCCTGAAGTTTTTCATTTAATCTTTGGTTTTTTAAAGTTTCTTTAATCGTTTCTAAACAGTGCTCCTCCTGCCACCACAACCACTTGTCTGTGCCCTTCATCTGTTGAAGCCACCAGGTCATCATCAGTCCTGTGGAACTGCCCACATTTGGATTTGACAGCTTGCATTTGTCGGAAGTTCAACTTGTCCCTCTGCCCTCGTTATTACACTGAAGGGTAGCTCTAGGGGTCTGAGCAGGCTTTTGTTTGATTTTTTGGCAAGAAGACTCCACGGGTGGTTCTACGTATAGCATAGTGTGCCGTTCAGGAGGAGTATTATGTCTGGTGGCCTTAACTATTAATATTTTTATTCTGACGCTCAATTTCACAAAGAAAATCCAGGAGTGAGGAGGCCGAAACATTTGGCCAAGGTCAAGGTGACACGGTAAGTGGACTCAAACCCACATCTGATCCCAAATCCAGCGCTTCTAATCCCCACACTCTCCTTCCGAACCAGACGTAGCCCTGAGTGGCAATGGGGACGGAAAGAGAGCCAGCTTCATCCTTCGCCCCGAGGAGCTCCTAGACTTGTGGTGGAGACTGATGCGGAACAGATGGTTACAACCGTGCGAGGCCCTGTGGATCGAGGAGGGCAATCGGGAAAGGCTGCCCAGGGAGCAGCACCTGGGCTGAGTCTTCAAGGAGGAGCGTTAACCAGGCAAAAGAGCAGGGCAGACAGAGGGAATGGGCCCTGAGAACAAAGTGGCCCAAATCCCAGAGCGGAATTTCCGGGCACCAGAAGCCTAGCACGTGACACTGAGGTTCTCCGTGAGGAGCTCGTCAGGGGAATGTGTTTGGGGGCACGGGGCAGGTCAAGCATGCTTTGGCCACACCCCTCAACCTGGCACCCCCGGAGATAGCACAGCCAGCTCCTCCCTTCCACCAGCCCGGGCTCAGCTCCAAGTCTTCCATCAGCCGCTCTCCCTCTGTCTCAGTCTCAGCGCGCCCGGGTTGCCAGGTGAAGGGCGAAGGAAGGACGGGCCAGGAATGCTGTGTCAACATCTGTCCACCTGGTTGGGATTTGCAACTGGGATCCAGAACAACTCAGCAGGGAGCCTGGTTACTCAGCTGCTCCTGCCTCCTTCTGCAGTAACTTGAGCCCGCTCCTCAGTAAGTCTCCATAGGAAGGTTGCCTTGAACCAGGTGCGTTTCAGTGTCTCATTACTCTAGCACATTCTATTGTAATTTGAGAACTCAATCTATAGATCTCTGTAGGCAGCTGCAGGGAGGGGAGAGGAGGAGTGGGGGAAACCAAGAATAGCTCCATTTTATCGAGCGCCTAGGATGTCCCAGGCGCTGCTCAAGGTATTTGACTCCACAGCGGGCCTTCTGAGCAGGGAAGTCGAGCAGGGGCCACTCACTCTGCTTAATTCTTCTTCTGCCAAGAGAAACCTGTTATTGTCTGGGGTCCACTCTCCACCTCTCAGAGCAGGTGGGTCCCAGTCCCAGCCCCAGCCCTGGAGGTGAAACGAGATCGAAATCTTGGCAGATATGGGAGACTCTGCTGGTTAGCCAACCCAACAGCCACTTTGGCCCCCTCTTACTTGTCTGCCTCCCACTGTAGAGGCTGAGGAAGACCCGATACTCTCCTGGCCTCCCTTGAGGCTTAGGTGTCAGTTCCAGCTAGTTAGCTGTAAGGGGATCTTCTGGGGAAGCTTCTGGAAAGCTTTGCTTCTGGCAAAAAGTGAGAGTTGCAAGGGGAGTATTTTCTGGGGTCTCCTCTTCCTCATGTCTTCCTGCTTTGAAGGAGAACATGAAGTCGGAAGCTGTAGCAGTCATCTGTGATCAAGAGGCCACAGGTCAACCAACAAGCCAACGAGTTGCCAAAGCAACCCACAGACTACCTCCTTCAAAGCCTCTTGTTAGGTAAACAAGTGTCCTTAAGATTGAAGCTGTCGCTTCCTCAGAGCTGAAAGTATTCCCGACTGATCCCTGGTCACATTATCCTGGACAGGGATTGGTTTGGATGTGATTATTTGATGCAGCTCTGGACAATGAGCTGTAAGCTGCAGGGGGCTTTAGGGTTTTTTTTTTCGTCTTGTTCTTAAGAGGTATTCTAGTGGAGGTAGTGGTGGTTCAGTGGTAGAATTCTCTCTTGCCTTCCGTGCAGGACACCTGGGTCCGATTCCCTGCCAAGACATTTCACGTACAGCCACCACCCATCCGTCAGTGGAGGCTTCCATGTTGCTATGATGCTGAACAGGTTTCAGTGGAGCTTCCAGACTAGGGCAGATTAGGAAGAAAGGCCTGGCGATCTACTTCCGAAAATCAGCCAATGAAAACCCTCCTATGGATCATAACGGTCTGATCTGCAACCGATCATGGGAATGGTGCAGGACTGGGCAGCATTTCATTCCATTGTGCACGGGGCTGCCATGAGTGAATGGCAATTGAACTGCAGCTAACAACAACACCAGCAACAAAATGCTCTGGAAGAAACAGTCACACCCTATCTGTGCATGATGCTTGTCACCACGGCCATCATTCTGCTTTGATTCCCATTGTTCCGAGGGGAGAATTTTCACAGAACAACCAGAGGAAGAAGTGGCAAATTTTTTGGATTTTAACTTTAAAAGCCATAGTGCTGATGTAGGACAAAGAGATATGGGGGGAAATACATGATCCAGCAGAACTATATCACTGCCCTGACTCTATGGAGCTGGAGAGGGGTGTAGAAGAGTCAGAGAGGAGAGCAATAGTGTGAAAACGGTGCTGGAGCCATCCCCAAGCCAGGCCAGCTTAGCTCTTATGCAGTAGAACCGCAGAACCCCTGGGAAGTCTGGGACTCTGAGAGGTGCTGTGCCCCCTTCCCAGCTCAATGTCACCAAGGCATGAGAATAATGGAGTAGCAATGGCTGTATGAGGGGCAGGGGCAGAGGGGGCTCAGTGAGACGCCCTGTCCCCAAAGAGTCCTAGGAAAGCAGCCAAACCTCCCCCACACCCCAACGAGGGTGCAGAAGTGGCCGAGAGAGAGCACCAGACCTCGTGGGCCCCGGGTCCTGGCAAGGGGGCACCATTAGCAGATGCAGCAGTGAGGCCTGCAAGTCCAGAGATCAGAAGGCGATGCCAGGCTCTCAGCCGACACCAGTCTGCGGTGGTGGTGTAGGCCGAGAAGCAGATGCAATGAGGAACAATCTCTTGAACAGCAGAGAGGAAGACACTGAGCGACGATGGACTGCCTCCTAGAGCACTAGGGTGTTGTGTGGGTCCCCCACACCTTAGATGCCACCTTGGGGGTTGGGGGAGGGGATCTTTAATTGGTAAGTTTCAATTTCAACCTCAAAGGACTAGGTTGGCCCAGAAAGAACGGAGATGATGTTTCTGTCTCAGGTGGAATGGATGCAACAGGGGCTTGAAATAGAGATGAGGCTGAACAGGTCCTGTTCATATTAAAGGCGAGGCCATGGGCTTTCGTTTAATTTCATTTAACCCCACTGAACAGACATATTCTCCCCAGATTAAAACCAAGGCTGAGAGAGAAATCATTTGCCTAACAGTTGCCCATCACGTAAATGGCGGAGATGGGAACCGAGGTTAGGGCTCTCTGACATCAAAGCCTGTGTTCTTTTCACCATAAAAGAATAATATATAAACAACACCAGCAGCTCCACAGGAGAAAGACCTGGTGATCTGCTTCCATAAAGATTACAGCCTAGAAAACAGTTCTACTCCAACACGTGGGGTTGCTATGAGTCAGAATTGACTCCATGGCACCTACCAACAATAAAGCTAACTTATAGTGAGCGTATCCTATGGGTCCTGCCTTGTCCCAAGACTCTAGAAGCTTATAATCTCATGAACCCCATGAGGAAGATTCTATCATTATGTCCACTTTTATAGGTGAGGACACTGAGGTGCAGAAGCGGGGGATTGGCCCATTCTTGCACCGGCAGCGTCACTGTGAACCCTGCCCAGCCATGGTGGTTCTCACATTCTGCAATGTGACCTTCAGGGACACTCACACACTGCCTCCCCCACCACCCTAACGTTGTTTGGTCTCAGGCTGCTAGGGGCTGTTGGGGGCAGCAGGGGTGGGCCCGAGGAAGATCCGAGGGGTGTGAGAAGGGGCAGGGCGGGGCCTCAGCTCACCTCCTCCTGCAGAGTCTCCATCTTGGCCACCAGGTGCTGCTGCTCCTTCTCCTGACCGACCGAGAGAGAAGACAGAGGCTTCATTTCCAGCCTTTCTGCCCCCATTGGCCTTCTCCCACCCCTGGGACATCAGGGAACAGGGCTGGGGGGAATCAGTCGGCAGAGCCCTGATGGCTCCCGCTGTCCCCTTTGTCACGAGAGGTGTGGCAGGCAGATATGGCAAAGTCCGGGGCGAGCAGGGCCTGGGGTCAGGGAGGAAGCCAGGGTGGCCGTCCGGCTCTGCAGCTCAGACTCCAGGACAGAGGGGTGAAGAGAGCACCGGTGTTCTCCTTGTCTGGGACCCACCGCCTGCCGGGCCTGGGCGAGAAGGCTGCGATTCTGCTCCTCCAGGCTCTTGGCCAGAGTCTTCAGGTCCTCCAGCTCCTCATCCACAGCCTTGGCAAACTGCAGAGCCTGCTGGGCACTGAGGGGACGGGGCAGATGGGACACACGAGAGAGAGGAAGGCAGAGATGCAGAGAGAGAGATGCACACAGACAGACAGAAGCAACAGAGAAGTTTTAGGGGGGGTTGGGAAGAGGCCCAGAGAGAGGGAGACAGAAACCTGGGGAGAGGGGGACAGAGACCTGGAGAAAGAGGAGGACAGAGACCCACAGGGAGGGAGGAAGAGACCCGAAGAGAGGGGGCAGAGACCTGAAAGAGAGGGACAGAGACCTGGAGAGAGAGGAGGAGAGAGACCCAGAAAGAGATACCATGGCAGACATGAAGACAGACAGACATAGGAAAAGGAATAGACCAATGGGATGGAGGAGCAGACAGACTAAAACAGAGAGGCTGAGAGACAAGAACCAAAGAGAACCACAAAAGAGAAAGAAAGAAAGGAAAAGTGAAGGGACAGATGCAGTGACGAAGACACAGAGCAGAAGGTGCTGAGAGAGTGGGCGCAGAGAGCGCCTGGGGGTGCTGGAGGAAGGACAGGGGCCAGAAAGGTGGACAGGCCCCTACCTGCGGAGCTGCTTGCGCAGGGCTGCGATCTCCTCACTGAGGCGTGCAGTGCCCTCTTCTGCTGTCTCCACGCTCCGCTGGAGCTTGGCGTTCTCCCCAGCCAGCCGCCGGTTGCTGAGCTCCAGGTCCTCCAGGCTGCTCAGCAGGTCAGCCGTGGCCGGCCTGGGGGCAGAGAGGGGCTGGGGTCACTTCCACCAGCCCTGCTTGCCATCCCAGGCTGGGTAGGCTTGTGCGGGTGTGTGTGAGCGGGCATCTCTTGTATAGAAAGTGAAAGCTAGCAGCAAAGCTGTGTCCCGCACCCACTTCCCCCAAGGGCCTCACACCCTGGCAGGCTGGGAGGCTGAGGGCATGGTGTGGGGGGGCCAAGGGGAAGGACAGAGGGGCCCTGAGGATAGGTACAGCTCTGGTCTGGGGTCTTCTTCGCCTCCAAAACTCTCCAGGTTGGCCAGCTCTTCAGCTTCTGGGCATCCTGGAAGGAGGGGAGACACATGGGATGTTGGGTTCCCTGTGACCTTAAATGTCATGTCCGGGTGCTCAGGTTCCAGGCTTGACCCTCCTTTGGCCTCCACCTCCATTTCCACTCCTGTGACCTCATCTGCTCCTGGGTCTGCACCAGCATAAAGGCCTCTTGCTTGTCTGTACCTGGAGCTCAGGTGGAATATCTTGGATAATCCCCGGCCCCTACACTTATCCCATCCAACGCTGGGCAGTGCCTCACCGCCCCCTCCTCCCGGCTCCCCCGCTTGGGAATAGCCCCACCATCTACCCATCCCCCAGGCTGTCCTGGCCCCTTCAATCGTCACCCCCTCAGCCCAGTGGCCCCCAATCCGTCTCCCTGCCCCTGACTCTGCCTGCCCCTCCTCTCTGTTCCCACAGTCACCTCGGTTTCCTTAGACCATCACCCCGGCCTCCTACCCAGACTCTCCGCCTCCAGTCTCACCCTCCAACCTGTCTGCACCCCACAAGGGTCCAGAGGGGTCTTTCTCCAACCAGAGCTGACCCACCCACCCTGCTCACAGGCCCCCCCGCCGCAGGCCTAACTAAAGCAGGTTCAAAGGAATATCATAAAAGATGTTTTTATCCCCCTTCGTTTTTGTAAGACAGGAGAAATACAACACGAACCCTTTTTTACTGAGCGCCTCCTATGTATAAGGTCCTGTGGGTACATGGTGAGCAAAGAGACAAACAATACCCTAGGGCAGTAACTAATCAAATACTCATATTGCAAGGTCACAGGGTCTATAGGAAAGGCACACAGATCCACAAATAAGCGTGGAAAGCAAGCAACCTTGGACTGGGGATCCCGGAGGGCTTCCCTGAGGAGTCAACCCTTTACCGAGGCTGTGAAGGATGAGGGAGATGGAAAGGCGAGGCCGGGGGTGGAAACTGCAGCCAGGCCCCAGGGACCAGAGAGTAAGGTGGAGCTGACTTGAGGTGACATCAGGGGTGGGCGTACCACGGGCTGAGGTACTAGGGCCGGTGGAGGAGTTGGAAACAACCTTCTGAGGAGAAAACCCCAAAACATTCAGGAAAGGGCTCGGGGGAGGAAGGCAGCCACGGAGGACCCTAGAAGTGAAATTCACAGCTTCAGGCTAGTACACTTCTGGGCTTCCACCCTATCCTCTACTCTGCCCAGGGTGGGAAGTCCCCCTACTGTCTGACCCAGTGCCGCCTGCTTCATTCTATATATAGCAATCTCACCAGATGGCAGTTCCTGGGGGATCAGGGCCCCCTCGAAGGCACTCTCCTCTTCCAGCTCTAATCCCCTATATCAAAGGAATGAGGCTTAGAGCCCCCTGCGGCCACACCTCCAGTCCCAACCAGCCATGGCAGGGGAATGGTGGGTGGTGGAGGGAGGGGACCAGGTCAGGTGCAGTGGGCACGGTGGGGAGGAAGGTGAGGCCAGATGGTAGTGCCCGGGGCCAGACGGAAAAGCAGGAGAGGCAAGGACTGGGTGTAGAGGAAGGAGGGCAAGGGGCCTCTGCCTACCCGGCACCCCTTCTTGCACTTTGTTCCAGTAGGAACACCTCCAGGGTCCCTAGCCCTTTTATTTCTGGCTCCAGGCCCCCTCAGCCCCACTCCCAGGCACTTTGTCCTCAGGCGTCCCCCAAACCCCATCTCTTCACGTTTCTTTCTTCCTCAGCCTCATTCCAACCACAGTAGGTCCCTGGGCCCACAGAGTGCTGGCTGTAGTAAGCAGATGAAAGGTCAGATCTGAGGAAGGACTTCCGGGGAGACGGTACCCATGTAGGGACCCACCCATCCAGCTGACAGGCAGCAATCCAGTCCCGCATGACGGCCAAGAAGGTGTCCAGGTCCACCGTGGCCCGAGGGCCCTCCCCGCTGGGGTCCAGGCTGCGGGCCAGTGTTTGGAGGCATGCATCCTGGGGGCCCCGTCCTGTCACAGTCTCCAGGTAGGCCACCACGTGGGTCACGGCCACAATGCCTGTGGGCAGAGCACGTGTGAGGGAGTCTGGGGCAGCTGAGGGTGGGAACTGGCAGTGGCTCAGGAGGTGGCACCCCTGTCCTGTGGCCAGATTGCCAGACTGAGAGACCTTGGATGAGTCCCTCCTCTGCCCCTTGGTCAGATTTGTCATCTGGAAATGGCACAGCCAGGCCTGTGTCACAGGGCAGCTCCAGTCCTGCCCCACTGGGCACTGCAAATATTGGCTGTCCACCTTCCTCCTCCCAGGCCCCTGGACCCCCCTCTTCTGTCTGTATCCCCCAATTCTCTCCTTCTCCCAGTGTCCTGAAAGGCCCCCACCCCCTTTATCCACTTCCTTCCTGAAACTCCCCACAATCATGCACTTTGTTCCAGCAGGACTCCCTCCAAGGGACCCTAGCCCCAGGCCTCTCTCGATGACTCCCCCATCCCCAGCCCCCTACTCCTGCCCTCCTACATTTCTTGCCTCCTGTCCTGCCCCCAAGAGCTTCCGTGTGTCCTTCCTTCCCACCTGTCCTCTGGGGGTCACAAGCTTCAAACGTGGAGTTGAGTACTTGCTCCTCCAAGCTGAGCGGAGTCCCCAGGCTCCCCTCCTCAGGCTGGTCCCAGAGGTACACTGAGGAGACAAGAGGGCCCGGCTCACCAGTGAGGAGGAGGGAGAGGGGGAGAAGAGGGGAGGAGGAGTAAGCCCCGGGCCTGGGTCTCCTGGCCCTCCCCAGCATCAGGGAGGGAACTCATTTGGAGCTGCCTGGAGTTGGGGCTGGTGGGGAACAGCAGGAAGTTTGGGATGAGGGCAGCTACATGAAGGCCCCATCTTTCAGGTCAGTAAGTGCCCCACTCCCACCCACCCCCTGCCCCCAGCTATCTAACCCCAATCCTTTGTGATCCATCCAATCCACCACTCAGGAGCTCAGCTAAGGCTCTGAGATCATGCCTTCCTCCTCGCCTCCCCAGCCTCCCAGGCTCTGCTCAAAGGGGCTAGGGGGTGGAGGAGGGCGGAGAAGGGAGGAGAAGAGAGGATTCTGGAAGGAACCCAGGGTGATGGCCTCCCCCTACCCCCAGCCAGGAACAATCCGATAACGCCAGGCAGCCTGGATCGATCCTGCTGGCCGCATCTCTGGTCTCCCAGCCCCCCAGGGAGGGTTGGGGAGTAGGGGCAGATCGCTCTCCTTCTTGCATATCCGAGGCAAAGCTGGCATCATCGGGGCCCATGGCCAGGGGCCCTAGTCACAGAGAGATGAGGTGATCCAGGCAGGGTGGGGGGTGGGGGGTGGCCAGACCGACCTGGGCTTGGAGCCCAGCTGCACCGCTAGGACAAACTGCTTCCCCTCTCAGAGCCTCAATTTCCCCACCAGTAAAGCGGGGGTGAAGAGCTCTGGTGAAGCAACAATTAAGTGCTCGGCTGCTAACCAAAATGTTGGTGGTTTGAATCCATCAGCCGCTCTGTGGGAGAAAAGACCTGGCGATCTGTTCCCATAAAGATTATAGCCTTGGAAACCCTATGGGGGCAGTTCTACTCTGTCACACGGTGTTGCTATGAGCTGATAATCGACTCGATGGCAGCTAAACAAAATGAGGGTGGGAGGTGGGTAAGGTGGGTTAGGTCTGTCTGTGAAGTGCCCATGTAGTGGGGTCTGTTCTGGCCACTGCTGTATCCACTGTGCCTGCATATAGTAGGCGCTCAATAGATGCTCGCCTGCCCTGACCTCAGACATCTGTGGGGTCAGGCCCATCTGGGCCATCTGGGCTTTGCCTCAGACAAGGGGTGATGTCTGGGGCAAGGGACTAGACCTCTTTGAGCCTGTTTCCTCCTCTGGAGAATGGGAATGGTGTTACTTCCCTCCTGGGGAAGGAATGATGTAAAATCCGGAAAGCTCTTGCTAGCATTTAGCAGGTGCCAAGCCTGTTCTGGGTGTTTCATACAGACTAATTCGTCCCACCATCTGGGTGGTTAGTACTATTAGCCCCACTTTACAGATAAGGAAACCGAGACACAGAAGTTAGGGACTTGCCCAAGCCTACCTGTTGAACATATGAGCCCCTTTCTCATCCCTCTCTTTAGAGGTTCTTTAGTGAGCTAAACTGGGCGCCCCTCTGGCTTGAACCCATGCTCCTAGATTTGGCCCTTGGGAAGGGGGGCAGGAACCCACAGTTAGGGGAGATGCCAGCACCTGTGCCAAGGGCTTTCCCTGAAGTCTTATCTTCTACTTTCACCGGATCCCATGGGCTCTGAAGATCAGAACTCGTCTATACCCTCCCTCAGCATCTCTGTCTCTGTCCCTGCCTGTTTAGATAGCTCTTTCTGTTCAGCATTCCCCCCCGTCTGTCTCCCCTGTCTCCTGCCTCTCTGGGCCTCTTGCCCCCATTTTCTTCCGTCTCTCCTTCTTCTGTTTCTCTCTTCTCCCATATCTCAGCGCCTCTCTGCTCCTGGAGCCTTCTCTGCCCTCCTCCAGCTGTCTTCTCTGGTTCTTTCCCCTCCTACCCTTCTCTGTCTCCATCTCCCCTTCTGGGTGTGTTCCTCTCTCTCCAAGGCGCCTCCAGTAGCTGGCTCAGTCCTTGCCCGAGGGTTCCTCAGTGTCTGCACGCCCTCTACTGGTGCAGGAGAAATTTAGGTGTTGGTTGTTCAGCCAGGCTGCCCTCCGGTTCCTGCAGCCTGCTCTCTACCTCGGAATTCCTATCTGGAAAGTCTCCTGAGGCCAGAGTCAGGCCTGGAGCCTGGGGCCTTGAGAAAAGAAGCTGGCTCTGCTGCTGATAGTTGGGAGCCTCTAAGAAAGGTGCCTTACCTCCCCCATCAGGCTGGACTCTCCCAAGGGTGGGAGCCCTGCCTCCTCCTTTAGACTGGGCTCTCCCAGAGGGTGGGGGCACTGCCTCCCCTTTCAGACTGAATCTCCCGGAAGGTGGGGGGGGCTGCCCTCACATCAGATTGAGAGTCACCAGAAAGTGCTTACAACACAGTCTAGATGGTTCTACCACTTCTAGGTGTGTGGCCTTTGGCCAAAGACTTCCTCCTTCTCCTACGACCTCAGTTTTCTGGCTTGGGAAAAGGGAACAAGAATGTTTTGCTTTGAGGAGCAGTCTGATTTTGAAATCACTACCATTTGTGGAGAGCTTGCCCTGTCCCAGCTTCAAGGCTGTGCCACCTCATTACAGCACCCCCTGATGACAGCCCCATCCTCATCCTCTACGTAGCAGAGGAGTCTCAGTGGGGGTAACCCAGTGTCTTCCTTCCAAAGCAGCTTTTACACCCACCTGGTCTGCATCCGCCCAGTCACTCAAAGAATAATTACTGCATTCCTACTACGTGCCAGACACTGTTCTAGAGCCATGTTGCCCAATATGGCAGCCACTTGCCCCCGTGAAGAGTGTGAACTGAGATGCTGTAAAATACACACCAGCTCTTGAAAACTTGGTACGAATAAAAGAATGTGGAATAATCTCATCAGTACATTTTTATATTGATTACAGGCTGAAAGAGAGAAAATGTATGATTGCCATTCATTTCATGTTTCTTTTTACTTTTTTAAAAATGTGACTACTAAAAAAATGGAAATTACAGGTGTAGTGCACGTTAAGCTTCTATTGGATAGTGCTGCTCCAGGGACTGGGAATCGAAGAGTGAATGAAAGAGACCAAATCCCTGCTCACATTCCAGTGGGGGAGAAAGAGGCTAAACCAACAAAGAGATGTCAGTGCTGTGAAGAAAAGCAAAGCAGGAAAGGGGAGAGAGTGTAACAGGGCAGCTGTCTTCTGTGAAGTAAGGAGGCGATATTTGGGCTGAGATCTGAATAAAGTGAGGGATGAGCCTGCGGGTGACTGGGGAAGGGAGTTCCAGGCAGGGGAACAGTGCATGAAAAGGCTTTCGCTCTAACCCCTTCTGGCCTCCCTGGGTAAAATGTGACAAGGTGTACAGACAGGTGGGCATGCAAAATCAAACAAAACCAAACCCATTGCCATCGAGTTGATTCCGACCCTACCAACCCTACAGGACAGAGTAGAACTGCCCCATAGCGTTTTCTAGGCTATAATCTTTACAGAAGCAGATCGCCAGGTCTTTTCTCCCAAGAAGCTGATGAATGATTTTGAGTATCCGACCTTTTGGGTAGTAGCTGAGTGCTTAACCACTTCGCCACCAGGGCTCCTTAGGTGGGCACACAATAGGCACTTAATCAACGTTTGCTTCCTCCCTCCCTCCTACCCCTGCCCCAAAGTAGAGGCTCAGCCAATTCAAGCCACCTCTCCCAAGTTACTAGGGCCCAGCCTGGCACCTGTTCACTCACAGCTCATGATCCCCTCCCGGCCACCTACTTGCTGCAGCAGGGCCACTTGGCCGGCCCTCAGGTAGGGCCATGGGCCACTCGCTCTGCTCTGAAGCTGCCAGTGAAACTAACAGCCTTCCTTGACCACGATCACCAGGAGGGACTGGGAGGGGACCAGCTGCTTCGAGAGCTCCTGAAAGGACAATTGGAGAATGGCCTCCTCAGATCGGCCACCCGCAGGTGGGGGCCTGCGCCACCCTGCCTATGCCCCAGGCTGCTCTCGGGTCTCAGAACCTGTTTGCCCACCTCCGCCTCAATCAGAGCAGTGCCCGCTCTGACCTGTTTTATGGACTGGAGGTGTGGGCTGGGGAAATGGCGGCCTGGGTGTGGGCGGCAGAGATCAAAGGGGGGCCAGTGGGTGGGGGGCACTGCCTGCTGGTCAGGGAGAGACAGGGTGGCCTCCTCGCCTCCTGTCCTCCCCAAAGCCCTGGCTAAGGTCTCGTCCTCTCCCCCTGGACCCTTCCTCGACCTAGCCTCCTCCTTGGCTTCCCAGCCTCCAGTCTCTCCCCTCTAGCCCATTCTGTAAATGGCCCCAGGGTTGACCTGCCCCTCCTCTGCTCAATACCCTTCCATAGCTCCCCAGTACTCCCAGGACAGAGGCCAGCCCCTAAGCCTGGCCTTCAAGGCACTGCCTGGTCTGGCCCTGCCCACCTCCCAACCCCAAATCCCACTTGATGCTCTAGCAACTCAGAACTGCATGCTGTTCACCTTTCCCCAAGCCACCATCACAGAACCAACTCCTGCCAGCCCTTCGCGTCTTGGCCCCAAAGTCCACTCCTCGGGGAATATGTTTCCGATTCCCACTCCTGGGTTGAACCAGGCACTGTTTCTGGACCCCCACACTGACCTGAGCTCCTGCCATTATTGCCATATTAGCCTGTATTGGGACTGTTGGCCTCTCACAAATTTGACCCTGTCCCTCCCCTGCTCCCAAACCTCTCATGGCTTTCTAGTACCCCCAGGACTAACTCCCTGCCCCTCAGGCTGGCCTTGCACAGGGCAGGTCCTTGAAACACCCCCCCCCCCTTTTTGCTATTTTTCTCTCCATTGGCCTATTCCCAGGTCCCTAACCTTTATAATGGCAATGGAAGCCCAGTGTCTTCCCCCTAAACCTGCTCCTATCCTGGGTCCCAGGCCCCGGTCACACCCTGGGTGCCAGTCCCACCCCTATGGTGGCCCCACTCACAGCTCCCCCACGGCACATTCCCTGAGTCCCTGGGGCAGCTTGGGACTCCCTCCTCAGCGCTCCGACAATGCTCTGTGCTGCCTCCATTACAACCAGGTTGATCACCTGACTTATTGCCCACAATGCTGGACAAGGGTGCCCATTGGGCTGAACTGGACACACCAAGGTGAACAGTCAATGTGACTGTGACCCTAGGGCCTTATGGGGCCTCTGTCCCATTGGGCAGTGGGGTGCCCCCACCCCCACTTCCTCAGCCCTCCTGTCCTTACCAAATACTCCCAACACCCTGCTCTCCCCGGCGCCAATCGGGATCCACAGTCGAAAGTTGCACGCTTCTTGGCGGCTTGTAGAAGGTCCTAGAAAAGAGGGTCTTTGAAGGTAGAACCTTCTAGGGTTTGGACAACACTCAACGGTGCAAAAGGGGGCAATGGTCGTGGGGCTTGAGTGAGGAAGGGTCCCTGTCAGAGTGCTGACAGGAGCCAGGAGCTCTATGACAGTGTTTGGGAACTTCTGAGGAGGTCCTGAGGGGGCTCCGGTCAGATCATGAGGGTCCAACAGGACTTCTGATGGGAAGCTGCAGTGGGAAGGGGTCTTGGCAGGAATTCTGGGGGATCTCTGACTGGATTTTGGGAAGTCTCTGAAAGGATTTCTGGGGGTCTCTGACAGGACTTTGGGGACTCTGACAGGATTTCTGATAGGATTTCTAGGGGGTTTCTGAAAGGATTTCTGGAGGGGTCTCTGACAGGATTTCTGGAAGAGCCTCTGAATTTTGGGGAGTCTTTGACTGGATTTTGAAGAATCTCTGATAGGATTTCTGGAGGGAGTCTCTCACAGGATTTTGGGAGGTGAGTTTGACAGGACTTTTGGTGGGTTTGACCAGGCTTTCTGGGAATCTGATAGGATTTTGGGGTCTCTGCTAGGATTAGGGGTGTAACAGGATTTCATGGAGTCTCTGACAGGCTTTGAGAGAGGCTGACAGAATTTCTAGAAGATTCTGACAGGATTTCAGGGGCCACCTATAAGATTTCTGGATGGGTTTCTTCCAGTGTTTCCCAGGGGATTCTGCCAGGAGTTCAAGAGGGCTCTTAACAGGATAGAAGGCCCTGATACTGAGCCAACGGCAACGGGTATTTTTTTTCCCGGCATATTAGGGAGTCTTTTCTATTTGGGGGGCCTTTGTAAGGATTCCGGGGAGCTCTGATCCCTGGAGCTATTCTGGGGAACCTCGACACACGCAGCGCGCACCTGAGGCCACGTCTCGGGATTCGGTCGAAGGCCACGGACGACGAAAAGCAGTTGCGCGGGTGGCGGGGGGGGGGGGGGCGCAGGGCCTTTCCCGCGCGAAAAAAAAAAAAGCAAAGAGGGCGGGGCGGGGCCGAGCGCGCGCCCTGCGTCTAAGCCCCGCCCCGCCGGGGTGGTGCGGTGGAGGGGGTAGGGGGGCGCCCAATCCTCCAGCGGCGCAAGCGCACTCCGCGCGGACAGCGCCCGCCGTTCCCGTCGGTTACCTGCAACTGCGAGGTCGCGCATGCGTAGGGCTGCGGGGGCGCGCGTCCTGCCGGATGGAGCGGGCGCGTGCCCATTGGCGGGGAGGGTGAAGGCTGGATGATTTATGGGTTGTGGGAGGAGGGAGGGCACGCGGCGCTGGCGTCTTTTCCGGTACCTCGAACTTCTGTGAAATGGGCCTGAGCAAGAGACAGTTGGAGTGAGGGAGCCCTCCGCCATCCCCCACCTGTTATCAGTGGTCAAGCTGTGCCCAGTCAGCCCTCTGTTCCGTGCCAGGCTCCCCATCATCGTCACAATGATGTTCCACCCACCGGCTCACCTCAACCCACGTCTACTCCCGCGCTTTTTCGTGGCTGCAGTCAAGCTGTCCTCATAGGTCCCCGAAGGAGTCTTTCCGAAACCATTTTATTCATCCCTTTTGTGGGGGGGGGGGAGGTGTTTTCAGCTTTTCTGGCTAGAGAGAGAAAGAGAATTACATCCAAATGTGACTCCCAAGAAGGAGGATCTGGGGCAAAAGAGTTCCCCTCTACTCGGTCTAGCGCAGGCACAGAAAAAGAATCCTCTTATCCACTTCTTGTTCATCCAACCCATCGTTTCAGCTGTCACTTCCTCAAAGAGGCAAACAAAAATCATATTAAGCCAATAACAGAAATTTATTGAAATGTATTTAATATAGGATTTACAAATTGGGGCAACACATCTGACTAGAAAGTAAATAATGTTCTAAAGAAGAAAGAACTTCCGAAGATTCTTACACCGTATTTATCACTAGTAATTATACCTTGACATGGAAAAAGGGCCAGAACAGTGTTTACATAATAACTCATGGACATAGACTTCGTCTGACCTTTGGAGTTTCTGTTGTCGAAACTATGTAGATAATTCTTTTGTTATTGTTGTTTATTGTTGTAGTTTAAGTGAAAGTTTACATTTCAAGTTAGTCTCTTATACAAAGATTTATACGTACATTCTTATGTGACCCTAATTGCTCTCCCCATACTGTGACAGTACACTCCTTTCCATCCGATTCCCCGTGTCCATTCAACCAGCTCCTAACCCTCTCTGCCTTCCCATCTCACCTCCAGACAGAAACTGCCCGTTTAGTCTTACCTACTTGAGCTGAGAGGCACACTCTTCACGAGTATCATTTTACGTCCCTTCAGACAGGGATTGGACTGGACTATGGGACATAAAGTGGTACTTGTGAGGAGTGTGCCTCTCCGCTCAAGTAGATACAAGAAACTAAACGGGCAGCTTCTGTCCGGAGGTGAGCTGGGAAGGCAGAGAGGGTTAGGAGCTGGTTGAATGGACATGGGAAATCAGGGGTGGAAAGAAGGAGTGTGCTGTCACAGTATGAGGAGAACAATTAGGGTCACATAACAATGTATAAATTTTTGTATGGGAAAAAATAAAAACGAAGGAAAAAAAAAAGAGTTGGCCTCAGAAATTGTTTTAGTTCTGGGCTGATAGAGGATCCAGGGGTCATGCTTTCTGTGGTTCCTCAAGTCTCAGTTAGACCATTAAGTCTGATCCTTTCACTAGAATTTGAGTTCTGTACCCCACCTTTCTCCTGCTCCATCAGAGACTCTCTGTTGTGTTGCCTGTCAGGGTGGTCATTGTGGTAGCTGGGCACCATTTAGTTCTTCTGGTCTGAGGCTGATGAAGTCTCTGGTTTATGTGGCCCTTTCTGTCTCTTGGGCTAATACTTTCCTTGTGTCTTTGGTCTTCTTCATTCTCCTTTACTCCAGGTGGCTGGGACCAATTGATGCATCTTAGATGGCCGCTTGCGAGCTTTTAAGATCACAGACGCCACTCATCAAAGTAGGATGCAGAACATTTTCTTAATAAACTTTATTATGCCAGTTGACATAGACGTCCCCTGACAGTATGGTCCCCAGACCCCTACCCCTGCTACTCTGTCCCTTGAAGTGTTTGACTGTTTTCAGGAAACTTTTATCTTTGGTTTAGTCCAGTTGTGCTGACTTCCCCTGTAGTGTGTGCTGTCCTTCCCTTCACCTAAGATAATTCTTGTCTACTATCTATGTAGATAATTCTTTAAAAAAGCACAATACTCAAGGCAAAACTTTCTTTGCTATTAATTAGTAGATTTAAAAGAATGTACTAATGAGTCAGAATTGACTTAATGGCAATGAGTATTGTTTGACTTAAACCAGTTTTCTCAAGGCTCAAGATTCAAAGATCATCTCAGGGCGATAGCTGGGGTGAGTCACTTCAACCTCCATGGAATACAGAAATCTGGATTTATATAATAAATAATATATTATTATAAAAATACAACTATTTAGATGATCTTGTTCACTTTTGGCAAGCTGTGGTTTTCAAGGAATTTGTCCATTTAATCTGAAATTTCAAATAATTAGCATAAAATCTTTCATAATATCAATCCAGAAATCTAGATTCCACAAGAATTAAAAACTCCATTCCTCACTACCTACACTAGACCCCTGCCTCTCTATCCACATTTGCTGTTTTAGTGATCTTCATGGCATGTTTTACCATGTGACATATTCTATATTTGTGTGCCTCTTGTCATTCCTACTGGATTGTGAGCTCTGTGCAAATCTGAACTTTGTTTTGGGACTAGAAAGTTCCTGTTCCAGTGCGGGCTCTCGAATTTGTTGAATGTAGGAATGAATGAAATAAAAGCATCAATCAGGTACAAGTATATGGGGAGAATTATTTTAATTGCAGCTCTTTTAATAGGAAAAACTGGAAAATCCACCAGTCTCCAACAATGTGGGAATGTGGTTCATTCAGGCCCCAAAATATGTTACCATCAAAAAGGATGGGCAAAAGGATAGATGGAATCTATGCAGCTTAACTACTGGACAGATGGCTAAAGATGTAGTTCTGCCCTCAGACATCTCTGGGTTTAAATTCTGGCTCCATCTCTTCCTAGCTGTAATCTTGAGAAAATGACTTTCTCTCTCTGAGCCTCAGTTTCATCCCAGAAATGCAGATAATAATTGCCTCTTAGATACCTTGCGGATTTAAAGTGATAATTCAAGGTTTATAGGAGATCTTTGTTAATTGGTAGTTATTATTTTGGCTGTTAGATGGTGGCTTATTATAAAGTCTGGGAAGGAACGTGTTTGGCAGGTGGTATGGTGAAGTGGTTAAAAGCGTGAGATATGGAATCAGAATATTGAATATACCATGGACTGCCGAAAGAACGAACAAATCTGTCTTGGAAGAAGTACAACCAGAATGCTCCTTAGAAGCAAGGATGGCGAGACTATGTCTCACATACTTTGGACATGTTATCAGGAGGATCGGTCCCTGGAGAAAGACATCATGCTTGGTAAAGTACAGTATCAGCGAAAAAGAGGAAGACTCTCAAGGAGATAGATTGACACAGTGGCTGCAACAACGGGCTCAAACATAACAACAATTGTGAGGATGGCGCAGGATCAAGCAGTGTTTCGTTCTGTTGTACATAGGGTCGCTGAGTTGGAACCGACTCGATGGCACCTAACAACAATAACATGGAATCAGACAAATGTGGTGCCACTTGTGTGATCTTGGCAAATGACTTCACTTCTCTGAACCTCAACTTCCTCTTCTCCAAAATGAGATAAATAATATCTGCCTCATGGGATCTGTCTTTGTTACCTAGTGCCACACTAACAAAACTAGCACAAGTGGGTGGCTTTAAAGAACAGAGATTTATTTTCTCACAGTTCAGGTGGTTAGAAGTCCAAATTCAGGGAGTGGCTCTAGGGGGAAGTCCCTCCTTGTCTACTTCATCTTCTAGTTGTTGGATGCCGTCAAGTAGGTTCTGATTCATAGCGACCCCATAGGGCTTTCTTGGATGTAATCTTTATGGGGCTGCAGCAGTACGTTGACAGGGAACTGCCAGAAATTCCAGCCAGATTCAGAAGAGGATGTGGAACGAGGAATATCATTGCTAATGTCAGATGGATCTTGGCTGAAAGTAGAGAATACCAGAAAGATGTTTACCTGTGTTTTATTGACTGTGCAAAGGCATGTGGCAGTGTGGACCATAACAAACTGTGGATAACATTGCAAAGAATGGGAATTCCAGAACACTTAATTTTGCTATGTGGAATGTGTACATAGACCAAGAGACATTCTTTTGAACAGAACAAGGGGATACTGCGTGGTTTTCAATCAGGAAAGGTGTGAGTCAGGGTTATATCCTTTCACTATACTTATTCAATCAGTATGCTGAGTAAATAATCCGAGAAGCTGGACTATATGAAGAAGAGCGCGGCATCAGGATTGGAGGAAGACTCATTAACAACCTGCCATATGCAGTTGACACAACCTAGCTTGCTGAAAGTGAAGAGGACTTGAAGCAGTTACTGATGAAGATCAAAAACTACAGCCTTCAGTATGGATTACACCTCAACATAAAGAAAACAAAAATCCTCACAATTGGACCAATAAGCAACATCATGATAAATGGAGAAAAGATTGAAGTTGTCAAGGATTTCATTTTACTTGGGTCTACAATCAACGCCCATGGAAACAGAAGAAATCAAAAGAAGTATTGCACCAGGCAAATCTGCTGCAAAATACCTCTTTAAAGTGTTAAAAAGCAAATATGTCACTTTGAGGAAGGAGTAAGGTGCACCTGATCCAAGCCATGGTATTTTCAATCACCTCATATACATGGGAAAAATGGACAATGAATAAGAAAGACGAAGAAGATTTGACGCATTTCAGTTATGGTGTTGGCAAAGAATATTGAATATACCACGGACTGCCAAAAGAACGAAGAAATCTGTCTTGGAAGAAGTACAACCAGAATGCCCTTTGGAAGCGAGGATGGCAAGACTTGTCTCATGTACTTTGGACATGTTATCAGGAGGGACCAATCCCTGGAAAAGGACATCATGCTTGGTAAGGTAGAAGGTCAGCGAAAAAGAGGAAGACCCTCAACGAGATGGATTGACACAGTGGCTGCAACAATGGGCTCAAACATAACAATTGGGAGGATGGCGCAGGACCTAGCAGTGTTTTGTTCTGTTGTACATGAGTCAGAACCAACTTGATGGCACCTGACAACAACAACAATCTTTATGGAAGCATTTTACCAGGTCTTTCTCCCATGGGTGGGTTCAAACTGCCAACCTTTCAGTTAGCAACCAAGCACTTAACCATTGCACCACCAGGGCTCCTTGCAGTTTCTAGTAGCTGCCAGATAGGAAGATGGGAATGCTAACCCTTGGTGTTCCTGAGCTTGTAGATGTATCTGTCTCCATCGTCTGTTTTCCTCTCCTCCCTGTGTGTGTCTCTGTATCTATTCTGGTCTTTTTATAACTCGGAAACGAGGAGGTTTAGGATCCACTGATTCCTGGCATGATCTCATTAACATAACAAAAGAAAACCCATCTTTCCAAACAACGTCGTATTTACAGGTACAGGATTTAGGATTTGACTCATATTTTGGGGGGACGCAATTCAGTCCAGTGAAACCATCTGAACCTAGCAGTTTCTCTGTGGGAAGGGTTTAAATTAAAAATTCAGTTTATATTATAAATATACAGTTATTCAGATGATCTATTTCATTTTTGGTAAGTTGTGTTTTTTTCAAGCAATTTCTCCATTTTATCTAAAGTTTCAAATAATTAGCATAAAATATTTCATAATATCCTGTTATTATATTTTTATTATCTGTAAGCTCTCTGGTGATGATATTAATAATTTATGCCATCTCTCTTTTTTCTTGATTAGTGTTATTAGTATTTAATCAATTTTATTAGTCTTGTCAAAGAATCAACTTTTGGCTCCATTAACTTTATTATATATTTGTTTCTATTTCGTTGATTACTTCTCTTATGTTTATTACTTATTTCCTTCTGCTTTACTTGCGTTTAATCTGATGTTCTTTTTCTAGCTTTTTGAGGTGAGTGCTTAGATCACTGATTATTTTTAGATCATTGATTTTTAACTTCTTTTCTAATATATGCACTTAAGGCCATAATTGCTTTCTGAGAACTTCTTTAGCTGCAAACCACAAGTTTGTTATGTCACATTTCCATTATATTCAGCTCACAATATTTTCTAATTTCTAGGTTGACTTGAGAATTATTTAAGTGGTGTATTTCTTAATTTCCAAATCTTTCATGATTTTCTAGTTATCTTTTTTAGTGCTGACTTCTAGCTTAGTTCCACTGTGGTGAAAGAATGTATTCTATACAATTTCAATTCTTTGAAATCTGTTGAGATTTGCTTTGTGGTCCAGGATTTGATCTATTTTAATAAATTTTTCACATATATTTGAAAAGGATGTATATTTTGCAGATGTATATTTCCAGTTAGATGGAGTTTGTCAATCATACGGTTCAAATCCTCAATATCTTTACTGACTGATTGCCTCTTCTACTAGTTACTGAAAAGCTATATTGTGGATTTTTTTGTTTTTCCTTTCACGTCTGTCAGTTTTTGGTTTATGTATTTTGAAGCCATAGTATTAGTTTTAGAACTTTATATCTTTCTGGTTAATTGACTCCTTTATCATTATGAAATGAGTATCCCTGTTTTCTTCTAGCTTTCTTTTGGTTAGTATTTACATATATTTTTTCATCCCTTAACTTTCCATCTTTCTGTGTCCTTATATTTATGGTATGTCTCTTGTAAGAGCATATAGTTGGCGTCTTAGTTTCCTAGTGCCACAAGTGGGTGGCTTTAAAGAACAAAAATTTATTTTCTCACAGTTCTGGAGGCAAAGAGTCCAAATCAGGGTCTTGGCTTCAAGGGAGAAAGACCTGGCAATCTGCTTCTGTAAAGATTACAGCCTAGAAAACTCTATGGGGCAGTTCTACTTTGTCACATGGGGTCACTATGAGTTGGAATTGACTCACTGGCACTCAACAACAATTCAGTCCAATTCAATTTTTTAATGCTATTTGCTAATCTTTGAGTTTATAAACATTTTCACTGAAATACAATATCTGTATAGGAAGCCCACACTTTATAAATGCTAAGCTTGATGTAACCCGCGCCAGTCTCTCACTGTCTATAAGCCTCCCACGTCAACCATGTGGGTGAACTGCAGAAAGAAGGCACGGCTTGCCATGGAGCTACACACACAAATTGGACTCAGGATTTTGAGAAACTGAAAGAGGACGTCTGGTGGGAGCTGGAGCTGCTGTGGGCTCAGCCTCCGCCCACGCTAACGAAGTGAACCAGCAGTTCCATGACGACATGCATGAGCTGTGCCAACACCTGACCCTACACCCAACTTCCAAACATGAGCACACTGCAGCTTCACTTCTGCTTGCCAAAATCCAGCGCATATTTCTTTTGGAGCCAACCCTAAACCAGAACAGTGCAAGGAGAGGAATTCTGGGAAATGTAGTTTCAGCTTCGCGAAGTTGCTACACTACCACCTGTCTGTCAGTTTGTGGGACAGTGGTGGCTTCTGTGTGGCTGTGATGCTGGAAGCTATGCCACTGGAATTTCAAATACCAGCAGGGTCACCCATGATGGACAGGTTTTCAATGGAGCTTCCAGAGTAAGACAGCCTAGGAAGAAAGGCCTGGTGATCTACTTCCAAAAATTAGCCAATGAGAGTAAAAAATGTTCCAAAGAAGAAAGAACTTCCAAAGATGCTTTAAAGTTTTTTTTCTATTGTGATTTAGGTGGAAGTTTACAGAGCAAATTAGTTTCTCATTGAGCAGTTAATATGCAAATTGTTTTGTGACATTGGTCGCCAACCCCCCAATGTGTCAATGTTCTCCCCTTCTCCACCCAGTTTCCCTGTTTTCATGTCCCTTCCTGCCTTCTCGTCTTTGCTTTTGTGCTGGTGTGCCATTTAGTCTCGTATACATGATTGAACTATAAAGCACGTCCGTCCAATAAGCATGTGAACTAACTTATTGAACTAATAAGCACGTGTGTTATTGTTGGCCCTATAAAACCAACCAACCTGTTGCCGTAGAGTGGATTCCCACTCATAAAACCATCCAACCCGTTGCTGTCGAGTCAATTCCGACTCATAGTGACTCTATTAAGACAGAGTAGAACTGCCCCATAGGGTTTCTAAGGAGCGACTGGTAGATTCGAACTGCCGACCTTTTGGCTAGCAGTCGTAACTCTTAACCACTGCACCACCAGGGCTCTGTCTATGGTTGAAGGGTGAACCTCAGGAGTGACCTCAGTACTGAGTTTAAAGGGTATCTGGGGGCATACTCTTGGGGTTTCTTCAGTCTCTGTCAGAACAGCACGCCTGGTCTTTTTTTCGTGTGTGTGAATTTGAATTTTGTTCTACATTTTTCTTCTGCTCTGAGACCCTCTATTGTGATACCTGCCAGAGCTGTTGGTAGTGGTAACTGGGCACCATCTATTTATTCTGGGCTCAGTCTGGTGGAGGCTGTGGTAGTTGTGGTCCATTCCAAAGATTCTCGTATCACATCTTATTGCTAGTAATTATACATTGCCATGGAAACAGGGCCAAAACTGTTGATATAATAACTCATGGACATGCAACATTTTGCTAAAGAACAATTGAGATAATTACTGATTTACCCTAAACATAGCTCTAGTCTGACTTTTGGATCACAGAATGTTGTCGGAGACTTCAACCTGCTTACTTTGGATGTGTCATTAGGAGGAATCAATTACTGGAGAAAGACATGTTTGGTAATCTGGAGGGCCAGTGAAGGCAAGGGAAACACTCGGTGAGAAGGATTGACACAATGGCTGCAACAATGTGCTCAAACATACCAGCGGTCATGGAAATGGCACGGGACCATGCAATGTTTTGTTATGTTTATACATCAAGTCAGTCTGAGCTGACTCGATGGCAACCAACAAAGCAGCAACGTTTTTGGTAATTTGTTATGGCAGCCCTAGGAAGCTAATACAGGGATTGAGAGGGCAGATGCGGCTGGAGGTGACACAGTCAGAGACTGAATGACCAGATAGGGCTGGAGGTGACAGGGTCAGGGACTGGGTGGTCAGACAGGGCTGGAGGTGATAGAATTGCTCAACCAAAAGACAGAGAGTGTCTGAATGAGGCAAAGGAGCCTGGAGAACTTGGCAAACACTAGTGCTGTCAGACATTATCCTCAGGGTGAGGGTTCGGTGGACCTGCCATGGCCTGGTTGGCAGAAGCTTAGGGATGGATCTCGAAAAGAAATAGTGCTGCTGGATGTAAGAAAAAACTTTATTTCCATATGGTGCTGGGGGTGGGGTCTGTGGGGATACACACTCCCAGTCCCCATCTTAGAGCTGCTGGGAGGGCCTGAGAATGTACAGGAAGTGGGCTTTGCGGGCTGGTAGCCTGGGGTGTAAGGAGCCTTGGGGGCCCTCATGGAGGAGATCCTCGTGGGTTCCCTCGCGCAGCCCATCCCGGATGGCCTGCAGCCGGTGCCGCTTCTCACTGAGCCAGTGGTTGCCCTCCTGCGTATCCTGGTGGGACCTCCGCCGGGGCAGCTTCATGATCCAGAAGGCCACCCGAGGACGGGGCTCCACATGGAAGTCATCCACAGCCTTCTGCACAGGCACCAGGGCTTCCTTCTCCTTCATCTTGGGCACCTGGGGAGGAGGAAAGTGACAGACTGAATTGTGTCCCCCAAAAAGATATGTGGAAGTCCTAACCCCTGAACATGAGCTTGTTTGGGAAATAGGGGCCTTCTTTTGTTATGCTAACGAGGCCACACTAGAGTCAGATGGGTCCCAAACCTAAGCCCTTCTGAGTGGTGTCTTAGACAAAGGGGAAACAGACAGGGAGAGTCACACACACAGGGGGAAGTCAGAAGCTGTGAAGATACATCTACAAGCAGCCAAGAAATGCCTGGGGCTACAGAAGCTGAAAGAGACAAGGACCTTCCCCTGCAGCCCACAAAGAGAAAAAGCCCAGTCCTGCCAATGCCCTAAATTTGAACTCCTGGGTGTCTCTGAGAGGAGCCCTGGTGGCGCAGTGATTAAGCACTGGGCTGCTAACCAGAAGGTTAGCAGTTCGAACCCACCAGCTGCTCTGTGGGAGAAAGATGTGGCAATCTGCTTTCGTAAAGATTCCCAAAACCAAATCCAATGCTGTCAAGTCAATTCCAACTCATAGCAACCTATAGGACAGAGTAGAACTGCCCCATAGGGTTTCCAAGGAGCAGCTAGTGGATTCAAACTGCCCACCTTTTGGTTAACCACTGTACCACCAGGGCTCCTCTGTAAAGATTACAGCCGTGGACACCCTATGGGGCAGTTCTACACTGTCCTATGGTGTCGCTGTGAGTTGGAATCGACTCGGTGGCAACGAGTAGGAGTCCTTGGGTGGTGCAGTTGGTTAAGCGGTTGACTACTAACCAAAAGGTTGGTGGTTCGAATGCATCCAGAGATGCCTTGTAAGAAAGGCCTGGGGATCTGCTTCCAAAAGGTCACAGCCTTGAAAATCCTTTGGAATACTGTTCTACTCTGTACACACAGGTGGTTCCTATGAGTCAACATCGACCTGAAGGCCACTGTTTTAGCTCCCAAAACTGAGAATAAATCCTAGTTCTTGAAAGCCACCCACTTGTGGTTTTTTTTTTGTTACGAACAAAAAACCAGTCGCCATCGAGTTGATTCCGTTCTGCTCTGACAAACATGGTGACCCCACGTGTGTCAGAGTAGAACTGTGCTCCACAGTGGCTTATTTTTCGGAAGTACATTACCAGCCTTTCTTCTGAGGTGTCTCTAGGTGGACTCAAACTGCCAATGTTTTGGTTAGCAGCCAAGTGTGTTAACTGCTTACACCACCCAGCGACAGCACTAGGGAACTAAGACAAGCCACAAGTAGACTGTGTCAGACTGCAAAAGGCAACCCTACAGTGCTCAGTCTCTGCTGGCAGAGTCAACCCACTTTGTAAGTGACAGGGTGCTTTAAGGGTTAAAAGCCCCACTTTGAGGTTTACAAAGTATGTGGGTTTACAAGCCCATTAGGATGGAAAACACTCTGAGGTTTCTCTAAACCTAAGGGTCCCTAACGGCACAAATGGTTTGCGCTTGACTACTAACCTAGAGGTTGGCAGCTTGAACCCACTCAGTGGCACTGTGGAAGAAGGTCCGGTGATCTGCTTCTGTAAAGATCACAGCCAAGAAAATCTTACAGAGCAGTTCTACTCTGTAACATATGGGGTCGCTATGAGTCAGAATAGACTCCATGGCAACGACTGTGATTTGGTTTGGTTTAAAACTGCTCTAAAAAATTCTCTGAGGTTTATGGAATGTTTTAGGATTGAAAACACGCTATGGGAGCTTCAAAAGGGAAGTATACAAAGCAGTTTAGGGTTTATAATGCCCCTTGGGATTACAAAGCATGTTAGGATTAATTGTACTCTGAGGTTTAGAAATCATTTTAAAATGTACAAAGCACTTTGGGATTAAAAGCTCTTGGGTTTATTGAAGAGCTGTGACCGAAAATGCAATGTGTGACCCTTGATTAGAATCCTGATCAAAAACAAAATCAGCTCTAAAGGACAGTTTGGGGTCAAGTGGGGAAATTTGAATATGGACTGAATGCATATTCCATCCTTGCTACTTAAAGTGCTGTTGTGGGCCGGCAGCACCATCGTCATCTGGAAGCTCCTTGTTGTTAGTTACCAACGAGTCAATTTCGACTCATGATGACCTCATGCATGCAGAGTAGAATGGTGGTCCATAGGGTTTTCAAGGCTGTCAACTTTCAGAAGCAGATTGCCAGGCTTGTCTTCCTAGGGGCCTCTGGATGAGTTCAAATCATCAACCTTCCAGTTAGTAGTGAGCACTTTACTGTGCCACCCAGGGACTTAGGAAGCTTCTTAACCTGTTGCCATCAATTCAATTCTGACTCATAGCGACACTACAGGACAAAGTAGAACTGCCCCATAGGGTTTCCAAGGCTGTCAATTTTATGGAAACAGACTGCCACATCTTTCTTCCATCAGCCTTTCGACTGGCAGCTGAGCACTTAACCACTGTGCCACTAGGGCTCCTTGGAAGCTCTGTAGAGTTACATCCAGACCTACTGAATCAGAATCTACCTTTTAACAAGTTCAAGTCTGAGAAGCCTTGTGGGAGATAATAATTTGATAACCAGTTGCCATGGAGTCATTCCGACTCATGGCGACCCCATGTGTGTCAGAGTAGAACTATGTTCCATAGGGTTTTCAATGGATGTGACTTTTCGGAAGCAGACTGACAGGCCTTTCCTCCAAGGCACCTCTGGGTAGACTCAAACCTCCAAACTTTCAGTTAGTAGCTGAGCACTTGACTCTTTGTTGCCATCCAGTGACTTCTAATAATTTGACTTGTAGCGACCCTATAGGACAGAGTAGAACTGCTCCCTACGGTTTCCAAGGTGCAGCTGGCAGATTTGAACTGCTGACCTTTTGGTTAGCAGCGAAGTGCTTAACCACTGTACCACCAGGGCCCCAATAATTTGACATCAATGTTAAATTTCATGGGTATAAAAATGGTACTGTGTATGGGGTGGTTATTGCTTAAGGAGCACTGAGTTTCTGTTTGGAGTGATGAAGCACATTTGAAAATGGATAATGGTGATGGTTGCACAACATGGTGAATGTAATGAATTGTACACTTAAAAATGGTTCAAGTGGCAAGTGTTTTGTTATATACATTTTATCACAATAAAAGAAAAGATACCTATTTAAAAAAAAAGCACTGTGGTCATGTGGGAGAATGGAGGTTCTTAGGTGATAACTTACTGAATCATTTAGGGGTGAAGTGAGGGAGCAACTTATCTTCACATGGTTCAGGAATAAAAAGGTAAAAACAGATAAAGCAAATGTGGCCAAATGTTAGTAAGTGGTGGATCTGGGTCCGTGGTTCTTTTTTTTTTTTTTTTCACATAATATTCTAGTGTGTTTTCATTGAAGGTTTACACAGCAGTTTAGGTTGCCATTCAACCATTTCTACACAAGTTGTTCAGTGACATTGGTTACATTCTTTACAATATGTGAACATTCTCATTATTTCCCGTTCTGATTGTTCCATTTTCATTAATCTAGTTTACCTGCCCCTTTACCGTCTTATCTTTGTTTGAAAGTAACTGTTGACTGGTTGGTCTCATTTGGTGATTTTTTTAAAGAAGCATAGTACTCACGGGTGATAGTCATTATTTTCTGAGCCAGTTTGTTAGTTAGCTACAAGTGACCTCAGGAGTTAGTTTCAGTTCCAGGATCGAAGTAGGTCAATGGTTCTTAACCGGAGGCTGGAGCCATTTTTGATTGTCACAACTGGGGAAGGGAGCGCTACTTCCGTCTCCTGGGCAGAGGCCAGGGATACCGCTAAACACCTACAATGCAGAGGACAGCCCCCACCCTCTAAAAAGGAAAAATTGTTGCTGTGTGCCCTCAAGTTGATTCTGACTCATAGCTACCCCATGACAGAGTAGAACTGCCCCATAGAGTTTTCTAGGCTGTAATCTTTATGCAAAGAGCCCTGTTGGTGCAGTGGTTAAAGCACTAGGCTGCTAACTGACAGGCCCGCAGTTTGAACCCGCTAGCTGCTCCATGGGAGAAAGATGTGGCAGCCTGCTTCGGTAAAGAGTACAGCCTTGGAAACCGTATGGGGCAGTTCTACCCTGTCCTATAGGGTCACAATTCCGACTATGACTCGGAATTGACTCGATGGCATTGGGTTTGGTTTGATTTGGTTTAATCTTTACGGAAGCAGATCACCAGGTCTTTCTTCTGTGGAGCCACTGGGTAGGTTCAAACCACCAACCTTTCGGTTAGCAGCCCAGCGCCTAACCATCGCGCCACCAGGAAGAATTATCCGGTCCCAAATACCAATGGTCCCGAGGTTGAGAAGCTGCTCTAGGGGAAACAGACTACAGCTATTATACTATTTTCCCCCTAATTTTTTGTAGGTTTGAAATTTTCCGAAATGAAAACCTGGTGGGTGGAAGAGGAACCACATGGCATTACCAAGCACTTTGGGATTCTTAAAACTTTTTAGGATTAAAAAAATACTCTGACATTTGCAAAGCACTTTACAATCAGAATAACTTTTAGAAGCTTACAAAAGGAAGCTACACAAAGCACTTTGGGGTGAAAAATCACAGTTCGAGGTTTACAAGGGTGAGGTTTACCAAGCACTTTGGGATAGATTAAAAAATACTCTTGACGTTTGCACAGCACTTTGAGATAAAAACACACATCAAGATTTACAAGGGTGATGCTTACCAAGCACTTTCGAATTGAAAGCACTTGGGTGCTCACAAAACCTTTCGGGGTTTACTGAGAGAATTGGAAGGAGCCCTGGTGGTGCAATGATTAAGCGGCTAGGTTGCTAAGAGAAATGTCGGCAAGGTTCAAACCCACTAGACATCTCGTGGGAGAGAGATGTGGCAGCCTGCTCCCGTAAATATTACAGCCTTGGAAGAACTACGGGGCAGTTCTACTCTGTCCTACAGGGTCACTATTAGTCGTAATTGTTTCGATGGCGCTCAACAAGAGGGTCAGGATGTATTCTGCGTTTGTAAATCTCACCTCTGAGAGCTGCTTAGTTCCTTTTGACAGATAAGAAAGCTGAGACCCAGAGAGAAGTCCCACACATGGGGGTGGAAGGGTCAGCTCTCCTTCCTCTCCTAAACTACGGAAAATGTTGGGGCCTAGACACTTTAGGGAGCCGCGGTGGTACAGTGGTTAAGAGCTTGCCTGCTAACCAAAAGGTCAGCAGTTTGAATCCACCAGCCGGTCCTTGGAAACCCTACGGGGCAGTTCTACTCTGTCCTATACAGTCACTATGAGTTGGAACCGACTTGACAGCCCTAACAACAACAACAGACACTTTGTGGGGCATGTCCTAACCTTCCAGTCACCCTCAAAGCTCCCCTCTGCTGGCTCAATCGATGCCACCACCTTCTCGGAGATCAGCACCTCTCCCGTATTGTTGTCGGTCATCTGTGAGGACAGGAGGAGAGAGTGAGAGCAAACCCGCTTTCTTCCTCTGCCCTCCTCCCCTCCCAATGGATGTTGTAGCAAGATGGGTGGTGGTGAGGCTCCAGCAGGGACTTCCCGACATAGACACCTTGTCAATCTGGCGATGGCTGGAGAGGGTGTTGTTCCCCAGCCGGCGCTCCTGGTTCTCCTCTTGGTGGTAGTTCCTGGGGAGTCCCCGGAAATCCATAGGGGCAGAGAAGAAGCTGTCCATGCCCCGAAGCAGGTCATCCTGGGGCAGGAGGAGGGACCTCATGACTCCCCAGCACATCTGCAGCCCTGCCAGGATGCCCTCAAGGTCTTGCTCCATGTCCCTCCCATCCCCTTCCCTCTCTGTCCTCTGACCCTTAGGGCCTAACCAGTCCACCTTCTGCCCCCATCCCCCATCCGCCTCTGTTCCAGTTCCTGACTAGCCGGGTCCCTCTGTCCTGTCTCTATCTCTGTCTCATTATCTTCCTATTCCTGTGTCTCATCTTCTGTCCTGCTGTCTGTCTCCCTGCTCCTCTCTCCCTCTCTCCATATTTATATCTATCTATATCTATTATAAGGAGCCCCGGTAGCGCAGTGGTTAAGTGCTCGGCTGCTAACCGAAAGGTCAGCCGTTTGAGCTCACCAGCAGCTCCTCGGGAAAAGATGTGGCAGTCAGCTTTCATAAAGATGACAGCCTTGGAAACCCTATGGGGCAGTTCTCCTCTGTCCTATAGGGTTGCTACAGTCCCACTAGACGGCAAAGAGTTTTTGGGTTAATTATTTGCTTTATGTCTTTCTCCGTCTCTCCGACACTGTTCCTCTCTCTTCATCTCTCAACCTCTTATCTCTGTCTTGTCCCTGTCATTCTCTCTCTCCTTGTCTGTTCACCTCCCTCTCTTCCGGTGTGTCCCCTTGCGTGGACCCGACTCATCTCCCAGTCTGTCCTCCTGAACCCTTCTATCCCTTTATCCCTACATCCCCTCAACCCTGCCATCGCTCACTTTCAGGAAAAGCCGGCTGAAGCCTTGGAGTAGGCTCTGGAGGCCTAGCAAGCCCGAGGAGCTCTCCTGGAAGTCACCATCGCGGATTGGGGCGGCAGTGGATGGGGGCACCAGGATGGAGGGGAGCAGCAGCAGTAGGACCAGCGGGCGCCACATTTCGGGGCGGAAGGGGAGGCTGAGGCAAGGGTATGGGGTCAGAGGCTCCGCCTCTTATCGAAGCCCCGCCCCAATGTGGCCACGCCCCCATCTAGACGACTCACTCGGCCTCTTTTCATAACCAGCCCCGCCTCTCGCTGAGGTACAGCCCCTTGTCCAGGCCACATCCTACACGTCCCATACCATTTCCCTCTCCCCACGCCTTTCTTCTACTCCCACCCACTCCTTTCAGCCAGGCTCCACCCCCTCCTTCTGGGCTCTGCCCCCTACCTAGATCTCCTACTAAGACCTTCGCCCACGCTCCGCGCCGTCCTCTGGGTCTCGCCCCTGTGCCAGCCCACGGTCAAATCGACGGACTCCCGGACTCCTCCAGCCGTCCACGGACTGTTAAATACAAACAGCTCTGGCCTCGAGCCCAGGCCGGAAACCTGGGGCGTTGGAAGCGCTGCGCGAGCCCTAGCCACGCCCCTATTATGTGACCTCGCCCCTGAGCTGGGGCCTCACGCCCCTAAGGACGTAGCCACGCCCCACTCTTCAATAACCACGCCCCTTAAGTCACGCCTCTACCGGCAGACCACGCCCCTATTGACAGACCACCCCACCCCCCCCGCAGCCCCGGAGACCCACTTTCTGATCCCAGCTTTCGAAATGGAATCCCGTCACAATCGTAGGTGACTGCACCCCTGTATGCTGACCTCGCCCAGGAGCTGGGCCCTCTATTCGATGGCCACGCCTATGAGGACATAGCCTCGCCCCATCCTTCATTGACCACGCCCTTAAGTCAGTACCGAGCTTTTTCTCTGGCCACGCGTCTATCGGCAGACCATGCCCCTATTGACATACTCCGCCCTAGAGATCGAATCTTGCCTCTGTTCTCTGATCCCAGTACTTCAACCGGAGTTCCGCCTCAATCACAGATGACCACGCCCCTTGAGTTACAGCCACCCCCCCCCCCTCACCTGGGTCACACCTCTGCCGCAGACTCTGGCCGCCGCGTCCTCAGTTCCATTCCCAGGCTCCCTCTTCTCCCGAGTCTGAAAAACACTTCTGGTTCGCTCACTCCTAGTTTTGTTTCTATCGCTGAACGTCTCTCCCTGTCCCTTTTCCTCTTCTTCAGGATTTAAAACGATTAATGCACCCAACAGGGGGCAGTGTAGGGACGCTGCACCAGGAGCCCCGCTCCACGTCCATGAAAAGCCCAGCCCTATCCAAACCCTGAGCTCTCTGGAACCTTAAATCTCGGCTACAGGGTCGCTATGAATCGGAATCAAGTCCACGGCACAGGATTTTTTTTTTTTTTGGTGTGTTCCATATTCCAGGAAACCCTGGTTGCATAGTGGTTAAGAGCTACATCTGCTCAAAAACTAACTCAAAATGGATCAAAGACTTAAATATAAAATCGAAAACGATAAAGATCATGGCAGAAGAAATAGGGACAACGCTAGGAGCCCTAATACATGGCACAAACACAATACGAACCATAAGTAACAATGCACAAGCACCAGAAGACAGACTAGATAAATGGGAGCTCCTAAAAATCAAACACTTACGCTCATCAAAAGACTTCACCAAAAGAGTAAAAAGACAACCTACAGACAGGGAAAAAATTTTTGGCTAGGACAAATCCGATCAACGTCTAATCTCTAAAATCTACAAGATACTGCAAAACCTCAGCAACAAAAAGACAAATAACCCAATTAAAAACTGGGCAAAGGATATGAACAGGCACTTCGCCAAAGAAGATATTCAGGCAGCTAACAGACACATGAAGAAATGCTCAC